CTTTTGAACATGTTTTTCAATTCATTATATATCATTTCCCAATACTCTTTTACCCTTTTACAGGCCCACCACATATGAAATAACGTTCCCTCAGCCTGTTTCCATCTCCAGCACTTACCTGATTCAGTCTTATACATCTTAGCAAGCCTACTCGAGAGTTAAATACCATCTGTGAATAATTTTCAAGTCCTTCTCCTTCAGAGAATAACATGCTGCAAACTTCAGATGGCTCTTCCAAAGTTTCCCCAGAGATCAAAATCTATATTATGTCCTATATCAGGGGTCCGCAACCCACGGATCCGCAGCCGCATGTGGCTCTTTTACACCTTTGCCGCGGCTCCGGGGCGGATACTAGCGAGGGGAGGAGGCGCATTGTGCGCCCCGACACTCCCCACTGTGGCGGGCGCTGTACTGGCTGTGACGTCGCATGGGGGCGGTGCGTGCGTTAGTCACGCACCGTCCCGACATCACCTTCCCGCCCGCCCGCTACATTGAAAGGTGGCATGTACGCTGGTCACTGTTTTGAAGGGGAGTGAAGAACACACACACAAAAAAAGGTAACTTGTTAATTTAATGTTTATTTCTATGAGGAGGAGTAATTCTGAGGGGTCAAACAAAGAAATAATAAAAAAAAGTGACAAAAAAGTTATTCTTATAATGGCGAGTTTTGCGGCTCCCAGTTGTTTTTTCTTCGGAAACGGGTCCAAGTGGCTCTTTTTGTCTTAAAGGTTGCAGACCCCTGTCCTATATCTATTGCCCAAGGCGTCATAGAAGCTTCGACAAGCTCGTCTTTTGTTTCCCAATATAATAACAGATTGTACATTTTAGATTTTAAAAAAACGCGCCTCATTTCCAACGCTGAGGTTAAGGTGGCTTGAGCGATGCTTCTCTTTTGACATCCCCTCCCAATCTTTTCTTTCCTTTTTATTTTATTTTTTAAATTACTCAGTTTTAGCTTACATTTATATTCAAACAGTAATCATAATCATAAACATATAGGATTCCATGAATCCTCAGACCTCCCTCCACGGGTTCCACTGTCATTTTCAACTGCATCTTATAACAGTCTCCATTTCTTCTTAAAATTCCATTTTTACCATAGTTCTTCTTACATTACAAGTGATGTTATGATCCTATCAAAATTTTTAGTTTTTTACGGTCTTCTCCAAGGTAACTTATAATTTCCCTCCGTTCCTTATTAAAGTTTCTGTCTCCTTGGTTTCTAATCTTCCCGGTCATTTCTGCCATTTCAGAATAGTCCATCATCTTCATCAGCTATTCTTCTCTGGTCAGGACTTTATCTTCTTTCCACCTCTGGGCCAAAAGTATCCGTGCTGCTGTCGTCCCGTACATAAAGAGTATTTTCTGCTCCTTTGGTATTTCTGCACCTAAAATTCCCAATAAAAAACGCTTCTGGTTTTTTCTTCTTTTCTGCTCTTTTCTTTATTTTTTTATTACAGTGGTACCTCAGGTTACATACGCTTCAGGTTACATACGCTTCAGGTTACAGGCTCCGCTAACCCAGAAATAGTGCTTCAGGTTAAGAACTTTGCTTCAGGATGGGAACAGAAATCGTGCTCCGGCGGCGCAGCAGCAGGAGGCTTCATTAGCTAAAGTGGTACCTCAGGTTAAGAACAGTTTCAGGTTAAGTACGGACCTCCGGAACAAATTAAGTACTTAACCTGAGGTACCACTGTACGCAGTTTTACAGTTTACCTCCTGTGGTTTACAGCAACGGATATTCAGAAACGTTTCTGCGAAGGGAAGAGTGTAGCCGTTGTGGCTTGTAGCCGTAGATAGGCTTCTCCAGCATTTAATTTGTCCAACCCTCTTTGGAGAGCATTCAAACTGGTGGCCATTCCTGTGGGAGCGAGTTCCATAGTTCGCAGAATGATAGGGACCCCCAGGGGTCATCCGGCCTGACCCCAGCAATGCAGGTATCTCAGCTGAAACATTCTTTGAAAGGTGGCTGCCCAACCTTTGCTTTGATACCTGCAGTGAAGGGAGAGTCCTCCACATTTTTTTTAATATAAAGTTTTTATTTACACTTTTCAGGTTTACACATTTCACTGGCTTTACAATCATTTTAACATTTCAAAGTTTGGTTTCCTTCCCCCTCCTTCTGCGGTTCCTTAAATTAATGTTTTTAGTATCTTCTGCATATCCAAATTAATTTAATTTGCTCGTTTAATTAAGTTTGAGAGCCAGTGTGGTGTAGTGGTTAAGAGCGGTAGTCTCGTAATCTGGGGAACCGGGTTCGCTTCCCCACTCCTCCACCTGCAGCTGCTGGGGGACCTTGGGCTAGTCACCCTTCTTTGAAATCTCTCAGCCCCACTCACCTCACAGAGTGTTTGTTGTGGGGGAGGAAGGAAAAGGAGAATGTTAGGCGCTTTGAGACTCCTTAAAGGGAGTGAAAGGCAGGATATCAAATCCAAAACTCTTCTCTTCTTCTCATTATCTACTTTAAATATATACTCTTACAAAACTGCAGGTTATTACACTAATCCTGCCAATGTTTTTATGTTTGCAATTTATCTGTAAATATTCAATAAGCCATTTCCATTCTTTTATAAAAAAAGTTTCTTATCTTGATTTCTTATTCTTCCGGTGAGTTTCGCCGTTTCTGCATATTCCGTAAGTTTTTGTATCTATCCTTCCTTTGCTGGGACTTCTGCTTCTTTCCATTTTGGGGCGAGAAGCATTCTTGCTGCTGTAGTAGCATACATAAATAAATTTCCATACAATTTAGGTACTTCTGTCCCTGTAATTCCCAAAAGTAAAACTTCTGGCTCATATGTGCAATGTGAAGAAGTACTATTTTTTAATTCCGTGAATACACTGAACTAGTTCATTCCCAGCATGGCTCATGACAAAGACCGTGACAGGCAGGAGAATGACCCGCTTAGAAGCACCTCCACAATTTGCCATGGGGGACCAGACATTCCCCATGAACTGGAACCCTCCATTCCTAACCATAGCTGTCAACTTGCAGATTTGAAATTAAGGGACCAGCAGCCAAAATAAGGGACCTGCAGCCTCACCTGTTCCAGGCACTCCAGTCTTCCTGTCCTCCTGCAGTCTGGTCAAACTCATGCTGGTAGCTTCGAGAACACTGTCCAACCAACTTTGTAACCAGAGGTTCAACTGAATAGAATCGGAATCACATGCACCACAAGGCCTATGCAGCCTCAACTTAAGATGGCTCCCCGGCCTGGCTTTGCACTGCAAAGTTTGCAGCAGAACGTGCAACAAAATGGCGTCCAGCATTCAAAAAACCCCTCAGCTTGCATTAACTAGCCACACACAAGGCATGCAAGCTCCACCCCCCAGCCGTTCTTAGACTTCTTATTGGGTGAGCAACACAGCCAAGCAACACAGTTGGAGCCTCCCTCCTCCCTGGCCGGCAGGGAGGGAGGGAGAGGAGCTGCTTCCTTTGAAATTTAAGGGACATCATTTAAGGGACATCCATCAATAAGGGACAGCAGTGGGACATGGCGCTGGAATAAGGGACTGTCCCTTCAAATAAGGGACACTTGACAGCTATGTTCCTAACTGGTGAGGCGCAGGAAAAGTTTCATTCTGAAAAGTGTGGCCAAGAGAAAAAAAGCTTCGATAACCACTGGACCTCCAACTCAGATGGCCAAATCTGGCCCTCCAGGCATCTCCCCCTGGCAATAATAATAACTATTTATGGGGGACAGAGGGCGGGCAGGTGTGGAGGACTCCCTGGTCCTGAATGGGGTAACTGTGCCCCTGAAGGACCAGGTGTGTAGCCTAGGAGTCATTTTGGACTCACAGCTGTCCATGGAGGCGCAGGTCAATTCTGTGTCCAGGGAGGCTGTCTATCAGCTCCATCTGGTACGCAGGATGAGACCCTCCCTGCCCGCAGACCGTCTCTCCAGAGTGGTGCATGCTCTGGTTATCTCTCGCTTGTACTACTGCCATGCGCTCTACGTGGGGCTACCTTTGAAGGTGACCCGGAAACTGCAACTAATACAGAATGCGGCAGCTAGACTGGGGACTGGGAGTGGCCACCGAGACCATATAACACTGGTCCTGAAAGATCTACATTGGCTCCCAGGATGTTTCCGAGCACAATTGAAAGTGTTGGTGCTGACCTTTAAAGCCCTAAACGGCTTCTGCCCAGTATACCTGAAGGAGCGTCTCCGTCCCCATCGTTCAGCCTGGACACTGAGGTCCAGCTCCAAGGGCCTTCTGGCGGTTCCCTCCCTGTGAGAAGTGAGGTTACAGGGAACCTGGCAGAAGGCCTTCTCGGCAGTGGCACCCGCCCTGTGGAACGCCCTCCCATCAAATGGCAAGAGAATAAAAACTACTACAGTGGTACCTCGGGTTAAGAACTTAATTCGTTCCGGAGGTCCATTCTTAACCTGAAACTGTTCCTAAAGTGGTACCTGAGGTACCACTTTCGCTAATGGGGCCTCCCAATGCACCACCAGAGCATGATTTCTGTTCTCATCCTGAAGCAAAGTTCTTAACCCGAGGTACTATTTCTGGGTTAGCGGAGTCTGTAACCTGAAGCGTCTGTAAGCTGAAGCATCTGTAACCTGAGGTACCACTGTTCTTGACTTTTACAAGACATCTGAAGGCAGCTCTGTTTAGGGAATGTTTGATGTTTTAGTGTGTTTTAATATTCCGTTGGGAGCCGGCCAGAGTGGCTGGGGAAACCCAGCCAGATGGGAGAGGTATGAATGAATGAATGAATGAATAAGATGGCAGGGGTTTGAAGCGGGTTGGACTAGATGACCCTCGGGTCCCTTCCAAACTCTCCGATTCTATGATTCTGTAATACGTAAGCCAAGAGGCTTCTGTTCTCACCAGCTGCTGCAATTCATTGTGCATTCCGGTTCCAGGCTATGGGTGGGTGTTTGCAAGTGTGCAGCCAGCGGGCAATACGGCCCAATGGTTAGAGAGACCACCATACCCGTCCTTGCTCAGGCAAAACAAACCCAGACAAGTAAAAGGAGACGGAAGCCAGGATTCGAGAGAAAAGAAATCTATTAGTGCAAAAAATTAACAGTTCTCTATTACAGTACAATATATGGAAAAAGAACATACAATTGATTCAATTTTTAGTCAACAACCAATCCTGAAGAATAGAAGAAATTCAAATGGAACTTTTTTTTGTGTTTTGTTTTCTGTGTGTGTAAATTCTATTTAAAACAAAAAAACGAAAACATCCAGGGAAAGAGAATCTCTCTCTCTCTCTCTCCCCCTCCCCCACAAGCCTGAAATTAGTGTCGGATACGTAACCTGGGTGACTATTAATTCTTTTAAAAATATATATATTAATATGAGAAAATGCTAAAATCTCCCTACGTAATCCTCAACCCTTCCTGAATTTATCTACCCTCATAGCAAGGGTTCGAACAGCAGCTGAGAAAGATGTGAAGAAGAAGAAGAAGAAGAAGAAGAAGAAGAAGAAGAAGAAGAAGAAGAGGAGGAGGAAGAATAAAGCGGTGGGGGAGAGACAGAGAGAGCAAAAAGCAGAAGAGACTAAAAGGAGCATTAAGAGGAGAAACTTCACAGCGAAGCAGAATCTGACCCAGGGTCCTGTATCCACAGGATTCTCAATGCCAACTTAGAAAAAAAAAATGATTTGGAGCAGGAGGGGTGGGGGGAAGCCTGCGAAATTATTGCAGGGAAGAGCGAATTCAAGAACTGAGAGGGGTAAAATTATGTCCGAAACGACTGTAGAAAAGGAAGCAAGCACGCAAATATACGAACAAGCCGCTGAACAAGTTTCTGAGAGATGGCAAAGATGTTTTGTGTTGTTTTTTTGCAGGGAAGAAGAGAAATCTTTCGTTTCAGGCATTTCCCCCCTCTGGAAAGAAAAGGCCAACTATAAAAGCATGTCTTAATGAACAAGACGCATTGCTGGGGCAATTGATGCATAACTGAGATAACATGGGATTTGGGGTGGGGTGAAGGGGTCCTTTGGGCAGGGGCAAGGGAGGGCATCCGAAACCAGTTTCAAGCTGGTTTCAACAGCTCACAAACCAAGAGACCCTGAGAGCAGCCTTTTTTAATTATTATTTTTTTGCAAAAGAGGAAGCAAGAATCTTGGATAGCATCTTCGCGCCTCTGCGTTCTTTTAAGGAGAATCCAGGAGTTAGCCCAACTGGACTTCATCTCACAAGGAGGACGTGGTGATTTTCCCCGAGGCGTTTTGTGACTCCCACAAATCCTGAGGAGGAAGAGATTCCACAACAGGTAAATATGGGGGTTAAGAGCCCCCCAAAATAACGTTTCAAGGCGGTGGAGCCATGAGGAAGAACGGGCCACCCCATATTGGCGCGACGGAAACCCTTTTCGTACTATGGAGCTGCAGTCCATTTGCGAGCCCTCCCATCAACCCCCCAAAAAAACCTTTAATACGTGAAGGCACCTTTTTATCCGTTGTTTTTCTCAGCGAAGCTAAGAAAACACACCTATCCCAACGCTTCTCGCTTTGGCTTAAGTTCCTTAACTACAAACCGCGACTGGAGATTTCGCTCCATCTTTCTTCCTCAGGAATTCGCCACGGGTGGAGTTTCGGTGAAGAACATGGCGCTCGTTAGGCCGCGGTTGCACCCCAAACGCCCGGAGTTTTACCGGGAAAAGGAACCGAGGGGGTCAATAGCACTACCACGATGGGCCACGACCACTTGGTCTGCAAACTGGTGCAAAACCAGCAAGAACTGGTTGGAACGAAGACAGGAGGCACCGAAGAAAAATGGCTTCCTTCTTCCCTGAGCTCATCGGAGCACATCAGGAAGAATCAAATGGCTTGGTAACGCGCTAGAAGAAGAAAAGAGACTTTTCCCAAGCTCAGAAGTTGTTGTTTTTCCCAGAGACGAAAGGGGTCAACTACAGGCTAGTCAATGTCTTCAGTCCCAATCACCCATCCCTCCTTCTGCACGCCCATCAGGTTTTACTTCCTAACTTATCTCCTATGGAGTTTGACCAGGAGAGGGGTGCTGAGGATAGTTGAAAAGGAATCGGCCGATGGCCAGAGATCATGGGAGTTGTAGTCCAGTGACAACCGGCCTCTGTTTTCTCTCCTCCCTGATTTAGGGGGACGGCTGGCCGTTGTGGCTTGGGCTGGGTTGAGAGCAGGCCGCTGTTGCTGATGCAAGTATTCTTGCCCGCTGGGAAATGTGAGGACAACTCGATGAGCAGCGGTGGTTTGCAGTTAGCTCGGATCGGGTCAAGGAAGGGAAGTCGTTCCTCAACCCCACCCATGGAAGACAACCGCCCTGTTCTCTCATGCGATCCACGAAGCACATTTCGCGGTCTGTTTTTTTGGGAAGATCTGGGAAGAGAATCCTGAACAAGGCGACACGCCTGGAGATACTGGGCTGTAGCCAGTTCAGAGTAGACCCAATGGAATAAATTGAGCCTCTGGTTCATCAGTGAGTCTGCTCTGAGTCGGACTAACATGGACGCAACCCATTGTGCTTTGGGTTGCAATGGGAGTTGTGGAACATCGGTAGTAACCTCAGCTGGAAGAGTTTAATAAACCAGTCTACGCAAACATTGACTCATCTGCCAAGGGCTGCTGAGCCACTTTGCAACCACCACTTGACACCTCGGGGAATTGCGTGTCCAGGGCAGTTTCCAATGGATTCTGCTCCGCATCAATGGAAGCCAAGCCGATTGAGATAGCCGGATTTTTCAGACGGCACAGAGTCATTACAAGTTGACTTTGACGCAGTGAGCAACTAGCTTCGCAGGCGTTGCATAGCCAAATCACCCTGCCAAAATCCATGCTTTTAAAAAATTGTTTTGGAAATCATTGAAGTATACAGCTATTGGCTTTAGGGATTTTTTTAAACAGCATGCATGCTCAAGACTGGTGAGGTCTTTCTTCTGGTCAAAAAAGCAGGTAGGAGACACACCAGCAGCTGATATTTGCCCGGATTTTGAAAAGGAGGATGTACGGTGTGCAGGAGTCCTTAAACTCCGATCGCGTCCACATGGGTAGGCATTAAAAAAAGTGGCTTCTCCCAAAGAATCCTGGGAGTTGTAGTTTCCTAAGGGAACTAGGAACGACAGCCCTGCGAGCAATGAACTACAGTTCCCAGAATTCTTGTGCTTTCAACGCAGGGTGCGGATATGACCAGAAGACAGTGCAGAGGAGGCGGCTTTTAAAAAAAGAAAGAAGCCTTAAACATATAATTTGGAAATGTGCTTTAAGGGTCACGTCTTAAGTTTTAATCTTTACCCCTGAAGGCAAATCCATGGCGTGTTGTTGTTCTTTTGCTACCCAGACCTCCTGCCTACAATCACAACCACGTACCAAAAAAAGCCAAAGTCCCAATGCACACAGATCTGATCCTGAGAATGGTTTGTGTGTTTAAACCCTTCCCCCGCAAAAATGTCACAACTCCGGCAACATGGCAAGGGGTTGGGAAACTCTGGGCATTGGAGCTGAAAGGAGTTCCATTTCGGCAAGATGTGCGAGGCCAAAGATTCCTCACCTCTGACGTATACAGTCGTATCTTGCTCCAAGACACCTTGCGAGTCGAACGTTTTGGCTGCAAACCCGGAAGCGAGTGTTCCGGTTTGCGAATGTTCTTTGGAACCCAAACATCCGGCGGGGCTTCCGATTGGCTGCAGGAAACTCCTGCAGCCAATCGGAAGCCGCGCCTTGGTTCCCGGACGTTTTGGAAGTCAAACGGACTTCCGGAACGGATTCCGTTCAACTTCCGAGGTACCGCTGTATGCGGGGGTTGTGTTCAATGTTAGTCCTACTCAAAAGTATCTTACTTTGATACCACTGAAATTAATAAACATGGATAACTTTCGGTCCATTCATTTCAACGAGTCTACTCTGAGCAGGAGCTAGCTGGCGACAAAGCAGGGTGCCCTGGGGGGGAATGAATGCCACCTTCCCCATCCAGATGTTGCCGAAACGTCATCTGCCACCATGGGACTGGCGGGAATTGGGATTCTTGCAAACTGATTTTGGTTTCCAGAGCAGGCTTCTCAGTTGCAAACATTTTGGCAGGAGGATGATCACCGGTTTGGAACGACAAACATTTCCTGGGTGTCAGGCCAGGGTCAAAAGTTGGGTCTCCACAAAAGAAGCCGGCGAGCTGTGTCTATTATCCTTCGGACAAGATCCAACGGTTGCACCATTGGCTCTCAGGGCTGTATCAAACATTAGCCCTCCTCAGAGGAAACCCACTGAAATTTATGGACGTGACTATCTCGAGTCCATTCATTTCAATGGGCTTACTCTGAGCAATACATATGCAAGCCGAACCCCCCAAGTTCCAAGGTTACTGGAAAAGTACTGAGGATTAGCCATTCAAAGAAAACTATCCAGACAAGACAAGCCCCACAGGGAATGGCCAGTAGCTCTCTGTAACCAGCCAACTGGCTTCTCATCACTCTTTGCATCTTCGGTTCAGAACCGCTTTAAACTCCCAGAGCTTAAAAAAAATAACGACAGAAGAAAAATATATATACTTAATCAACATTGGGGTTATTATTACACGCCTCCAAACTGGGTTGTGTTTTTTTAAAAAATATATATATACAAGAACGGAAGGGGGGGGGAAACAGTCGCGTTGTTCTAATTATATATTTATTTTTAAGCCCCCTCCCTGCAAAAAAGTGCATTTTATATATATTATATATATTTATATCTATCTATCTATATATAGATATTTTTTTTCTGTACTCATTTTCCGTCTCCCCCACTCCCACCCCCTCCTAGCAAATATCAAACATTATCAAACATACAATCTCTGGAATGTCTTTTTCTGTGCTTAGCTTTGCCTCGTTCGACAACAGTAAATTAGTCATTTAAGGGTTCGTGGCGGTGTTTTTAAAATATGGATTTTATATATATAGAGAGAGAGTGCTCTGGCGAGATCGTTCTCTGTATAGCTAACGGCGACGGCAACAGCAGCAGGAAGGAATTATTAAGCAAGGGGCCCAACACACCTGACGTTAAGCTCTGCTTTTACCTTTCGCATATCACAAGGGATGGAGAACCTTGCAGCCCTTCTCGGAGGATGCTGGACTACGCAGCTCCACATCTCTTCCCTGAACATTTGCTGAAGCTGCTGGGTCCCCCAACTCCGGGTGCACCTGAAAAATTGGGTGTCTAGAAGAATGAACAAAAAACTTAGGAACCCGCTCCCAGAATGACGTCTGAACTGTCCCTTCGTTGGGTCACTCTTAAGTCATTCCACAAGCGGAACAGCTTCCGCTTGTGCAATTAAAGGTCCCCCTTCTCTCTCCTCCCCGGTATAACCCCAAATTTGCTCTAGGGGTTCCTCTAGCTATCTGGAGCGGATTGGTGGGGGGATTTGGGGGGGGCACCCAGGGGGAGTAGAGAGAGAGGGGAGAAGTTCTGCTTAGCGAGCGGAAGCCGTTCCCGCTTGCGGAATGACTTCAGTTGCCGTCGTTTCTGAGAAGCTTCAGGGAAGCATCCTCGCTGATGCTTTCCAAAGGATGAGAAAAGGGAGCTTTCAAGGGGGGTTAGGGAACTAAATGCGAACAAGCTAGCAAAATGCTCTCTTGCAAAGAACGTTTTAAAAAAAAGAACAGCATCTCTCTCCCAGCGTCGACAAGAACATTCCGGGGCGCTCTTCTTAACTTAAAAATTTATAGACATTAAATGTTGAAAATATAAATAGATCTATAGATTTCATTTTTCAATAGCCTGACCTGGAGAGGAGGAGGGAAAACAGCGCGATTATAGGGTAGCACTTAGAACTTGGGGGGCGGCAAGAGGCTTTCGATATATAGTCTCGCATCGCCGAGGCGGAAGAATCGCGACGGGCCTTTCCTGACGACTTCGACCGAAGCCACGGGAGAAGAAGAAGAGATGAATTAAGGCCAAATCAATTTTTGGAAGCATGGAAGATTCTCTAACCCACCTCCCCAAACTTAGCCACTGACGGCGAGGGGAAAAAAAACCCACCCTCCATTTCCTCAGGAAACCTAAGCAGCTATTCCATACAGCTCTTTATGAAATGTCTTGGGTGGAAAGCAAAAACTAGAAAGAAGAATCAGGTCTAAAGTGAATAAAGAAGCCCGCCCCCCCCCTTTAAAGCAGAGGATAATCCCTTTCCGTACATCAACTCACACACACACACCCCAATTAAAAAAACCACACATATCTGAAGTCCCTGCCCTTTTCTTTTTTTTGCAAACAGTCTCCAACATATCCTCTTTTTTTAAAGTGCAACAGAACAATATTCCCCCATTGGATCCAACGGGTCAGAGCTAGTGCAAAAGAAGGAAAGTCCTTAAGACATTTTTCAAGACGCTATATCCTTCTTTTCTGCTTAAGGCTTCTTTTTTTTTTGTGGGTTTGGGCTGAGGCGAGCGGGGAGCGGGGTGGGCACGGCTTAGCCAAACGAAAGCCCTCTCCTAAAATTCAGGGGTGGCCAGATCCGTCTCTGCCGCAATTGGAGAACCTGCTTTCCCTCCACACGGGAGAAAATCAGCAAGCAGAGAGGCAAAATGCCAACTGGGCCCAGGTCCTTCTCTCCATCTATCTCCTCCACCTGGACCAGGAAGTTCTCAAAAGGTCTCGCCAACTGAGGGCCTCCTTTTTGGAGACGAGGAACACTTAAGAACCAACGGGGTTTGCTAGATGGTGGACCCAACTCATGGGCAACTCAAGCGTTGGCGAGGAAGAGTTCGTGGTTAAGAGCGTAACACCCAGGGAACACCAACCACCTCCAACTTCACGATGGTAGGTTCCCACCAACTCCTGACCCTGGGGTGCAATAAATTTTAGTAGGCCAACCCAGTTGCAGAGGTTCCTTTCCAGGTGTGTCCCTGTACGAAGAACCTCACGGCCTGAGCCAAAGAGGGCAAGAATTTATTTCGGAAATTAGATCAGAACGCCCTAGAGATCTGCCCCTTCTGATCTTAGCTGGGGGGGTTGCAACCTGCCCCTGCAACGCCTCTTGGCAACGCAGCTGCCCCTTCCCCACCGTCCACGAACTCACCCCTTTACATTCACGCAAATGACACGGGTTTGCCAGGAACAGCCAACGCCAGCTGGCCAGCGGAAGAATTGTCAAGGAAGCAGCTTATACAGCAGGGCAGGAAGGTGCAAACAGGAAGATTGACGGCTGTCACAGGATCAATGGCAACGGGAGGGTCTGTGTGTCCCTTCCAGGTCAGCAGGAAAACTGTGGCCCCCAAGCCCTGAACACATTGCACCCCGCAGAGAGTTGCAAAAAGCTCTCGCTTCTCGGACTGAAACCCCTTCGGTCATTATCGGGCCAAATAGACTTTCAATAGAACTATTCCCCGCTATTATTATTATTATTATTTGCAATGGAATCCAATCATTTACAGAGGTGTCTCTGCTTGCAGGCTCCCCTACAGACATTTTGCAAGCAACTCGACTTTTCCTAAAACTCCAATAGCTGGAAGTCAGCCCCTTAGCAATGGGGGGGAAACAGGTCGGAAGGTGCCGACGTAGAAGACACACACATACCCTGAAAAAATACAGCTTCAGCCACTTGAAATTAACATTTGATAAATTAAGTTGTTGGGTTTTTTTTGGATCGTGAAATTCAAGAAAGAAAAAACACGAAAACAGCCCAGCCAAGTAGGGAAACATTGTCTGTTATGTGTATTATCGCTATTATTATTTTTGTCGCTGATGTCATTTTAGAAGCATTTTTTCCTTCTTTTTTTCCTGAAATACGGTAATATAACCAATAGTTTCTTTGGCAACACTTTACCACAACCTGGATCTTATTTTTAAAAAATAAAATAATAATAATAAAAAATAATAATATTTTCTTTCTCTTAAAAAAAAAATCGAACACCTTATATACAGTATGTGATTCGAGGAAGAGGAACCTTGCATGCGAAGAGATGTCCTTTTTGTGTGTGTGTGTTTGTGATCACTTGTACAAAGAAGGAATAAGAAGGTTAAGGCAAAATGTATTCAGAGGTCTAGGCCTCCCTACACAGAGAAGGTACATAATTTTCTCTCGTTTTTTCTCTCTCTCTCTTATTTTTATTTTTAGTGCAAACGCTTCAAAGGCTTGTGTTAAAGTGTTGCCAGCACTCCTGTTCGAAGCTTAGACCCCACACCAAGCAACGAACATCGGACCCCGTTCCGCGCCCCTTACCCTTTTGAGGGCCGCGGAAGCTCATCTAACAAACAAGGTGCGGTATCTCTGCTCAGGAAAACGAAAAATAAAAATAAAATAAATGGGATCAGGACACAAGTATATACGCGGCGAAACCAGCCAACGGGTTCCGCCGCGACGGCCACGCTTTCTTTCCAAAGGGTCCTGGGAACTGTAGTTTGGGCGAGGGCGCAGAGAACTCTCCCTCGAGAGATATCCCCAACCCTCCCCCTTCTTAGCCCTTCCCCTAACGCAGAACTACGTACAGTTCGCAGGACTCTTTGGGAAAGAGGGGATGGTGGCCGCTGGTCAAGCATCGGGGACGTGGCCTTAGGTGGTGGTGGCCCCCTCCCGGCCGAAGCTCTGCAGAGACCGAAACGGACGAGGGGAGGGTACTCTTGAGATGGAGGAGGTGAGAGGGATACGAAGAGGGTCATGCAAAGGAAAGATTTGCACAGGGATGCTGGCCAAGCAAAAATAAAATATTGTGGCGTCTCCTCGGACCCAAGCTTGCAATAGCGGCTTGTGCAAAGGCTAACTTGGGGGGAACGCACAGCAAAGGGGTCCCCCGTTCTACACGGAGCCTCAGCCTCAAAATGCTCACGGGGACTGGACACAGATTTTGGAATTCCACCTGGTCTTCTGCCAATTTCTGGGCAGGACATGACCGCATCGGGATTAAAAAGCAAGGTGGTGGGAGGGGGGGAGAGAGAGGGATTTGGCTGCTATTTCTTAGGTGTCCCAAAATAATAATAATAAAAAATTAAACCCCAAAGAACAACCCCCCCCCCCCCCCCGTTCCTACGGTTCGAAAACACCCTGACTTTGAAGAGAGAGAGAGAGAAAAATAAAGAAACTGACTGATGGAGCTCTGGAATATTGGATATTGATTGGTTGTTAGGTGGCTTGGTTGAAGTGGGGGGAGAGATTTTGGACGGGGAGGGGGAGAGACGGGTTGGGTGGGGGGAAATACACACAAAACATAAACAGTCATGGAAACAAGGAGGTGTAAAACAAACTGGTAGAGATACCACAACTTTTGATTACAATAAAGAATCTCATGTATCTATCTATTTACAAAGTCCACGCTAAGTTTTGCATATGCAATCGTTTTTTAAGTCAGTGCTAAGCCGAGGTTCTCTATGGAAGAGAAATATTTTTGGGGGGGTGTCGGTGATGGGGCCACAACCATCCAACTGCCAGGACCTCCTCGAATTTGCTTTGAATGGGCCGAAAAAAAACCATGGAAAGATCCCAAACCGCCGTTTGTCCACCAAATTTGCCGATTTATTTTAAAGCCATTTGATTTGCAGGGTTTTGTTTTTTGTTCTAAAGTAGAAACAGACCCTTGAAAAGTTTTTTTCCTCCCCATTTGCAAGAGTTGTTACGGAAGGCGAGTTACGGCTTAAAACGAATCTACTCCCAATTCAATTTTTGATTTTTTTGCAGACTTTGCAAAAATAAAATAAAAATCCAGTGCCAAACCATGAAACCAAGATGGAAGCTGTTCTGGACAGATTGCCTTCCGATAACCAGCTTTTGGGTATCTTTCGCCACTGTTTCCCAACCAGACTTTTCCTGCCGGCTCCTAAATTGGCTCCCCCCCCCCTGGACTGGGGAAGTGGAGATCTGTTTCCTGGGTTCCGAAAACCCAGCTCACCTCCACACATATACCGTGGGAAAATGGGCTTTTCCTCCCCATTTTGCATCCCTCAATTCGCTTGGGTCTTGATCAACTTTGAAGCGTTAAGCTCTGAACCCCGTTTTCCCAAGGAGGGATGAGCAACGCTGACCCAAAGCACTTGGGGGGCGAGAGTTAAGGAACGTCAAATGAAACCGGACATCAAATTTGGAATCCAAACCGCCCTTAAAAGCTTGTTTTTAAAACAAAAATTGTTATTTATACCCTGCCCATCTGGCTGGGTTTCCCCAGCCACTCTAGGCGGCTCCCGGTCAAGTGTTAAAAACAATACAGAATTTTTTCAATTTGGAGGGGTGTTTTTTGGGGGGTTTGTGCAAGAGACGGGGGCAAAGCGTTTGGAAGGAAAGCCGGCAGAAATACGAGCCAAGCTGCGAAGTCCCCCATCGAATGGAGCCCTCAAAACCCGATTGAAAACAGATTTTGGGGCGAGAGGTCAGTGGGAAGCAAGGTCTCGAAATCTCCTTTCTTGAGGGAGGTGGTCCTGGGAATGATGGTTGTGGCCGGATGAGGGGAAAACCAATTAGAAAACGGACAGGCCAGCACTGGCAATAAGACATAAAAAGGAAAAAATAAAAAATTAAGAGGGCTGGGGTGGAGAAACCATACACAAAATAACCCAATGATTCCTGCCTAAAAATTCAAGCTTCCATTTTTGTATTTTGTGTTTTTTCCCGAAGTGCAAATCACTTCCGAGGGCTACTTTATTCCTCTAAATTTTGCTGTGTCACAGAATCTAATTAACTCCAGTCCTCCCGATTTTATTTTATTTTTCTACGTTTCGCTTTGCTCCTGGTCTCAATCCACGAACCAAAACGGTGGATTTCATTTTAAGTCTCTCTCTCTCTCTCTTTCTTTCTCTCAAATATATAGATAAGATAGATAGATATATACATTTGTTTTGTTTTTTTCTCTTACAAAAATAAATTCAATTTTAGGAATTATTTTAATAAAAACAACAAACAACAATAAATTTCTTTCTGTAGAAGATGGTTTCGACGTGTAAACATATTCGTTTCTTTCTTTTATATATATATATAGATATATATATTTCTTTTAAATTAAGATAAAGTGATTTCAAAGTACCCGTTCCATTTCAAAGTGCTAAGACTTCTTAAGTTTCTAATCTTTTTTTGTGTGTGGGGGGTTTTTTTTATTGCTTTTTTTTTCTATATTAAATAAAACATCCACGTCTTCCCACCCAACCCATTTTATTTTTCTTTGTTCCTCCCCCTCACACTTTCCCGTCACAAACAAACAAACACACACACACTCCCCTGTTCGGTTACATTCGGCAAAACGGTTCACCTTTTCTCTCATATTTAAATTAAACGAAAAATCTTTAAAAGTGCTTGCAAAAAAAAAAAAAGACGACTTAAATCTCTCTTTCTCTCTTTTAGAATCATTTTTTTTTAAAACTGTGCATTTAGAAAATTCTGAAATGGATAAAAAGGTGTCCTTAGTTTCTTAGCTTAAGAGGGTCCTAACGCTTTTTCTGATAAACCTGATAGAACAGCCACTGTGTTATCAAGAACACTTTTTTCTTCTACATCAGATGGTTGGTCTGGGAAACAGGATTAGGTGGGTCACCACAGAAAACAGCTTGGACCACAAACCTTGCCTTGGTCCAAACCAATACCCCCTTTCTCAATTTTTTAAAATGAGGCTCCGTAAAATCTCAGTAACTCAGGGAGCGTAAACTGGAAGATGGGACCCGACTTGAATAACCCACAATTTCATTTCAGTGCGTTGGCTGGTCCTGGCTTGGTTTTTTTGTGCTAGGCATATATATTTCTATAGTACCAAAAGGGGTAGGAGGACTGGGGAGTGAAAGGTGGGAGGGGGCACAGGGAACTGCACCCCACTGGATAAAAAATGGGAGAGGGGCTGCGGACACAGAGGCCGCCCGGGTCTATAGCATTGCCACCAACTCAGTTTCATGGCTGCTCCTTGCAAATCCCACCCCCCAATGCCTATTTTGCCCTTCTGCCAACAAGACCCCCATGAGAACTCTTAGCGAGAGCCCCGTGGGGTGGGAAGGAAGGGCTCCCCCCAGCCTGAGGTGCTCAAGGAGGTCAAAAAGCAACCCCTGCAGAGAGGCTAAAGGCACCGCAAGCTCCCGCAACCCTTTTAAAAGAGGCCTGTTCTTTTTAGCCGGGAAGCTTTTAAGTCAAGGTGCAATAGCTCCAGGTTTTCTGCACTCAAAACAGAGCATTTCCCACGACCGCCTAGCCAAAATACTTGCATTACTGGAACTCAGGTTTCGCGCAAAGGGTGATTTATGATCAAGGCTGGAACCTGGTCAGCACGCAGGGGAGAGGGGAATTTTTAGAAAGTCGGACCGTGCGGGGCAACTTCCTGCCTGCAAAAGGTAAGGTCTAGTTACAATATGCCCTTAAATATGCAATATGCAATGTGGAAGAGGCACGGTGCTGTGTTTAAGGACTGCAACAGCGAATTGCTGAACCCCAAAGGGTTGTTTCCAGCCAAATTCTACTCCGAGTAGAAATTAATAAGCCCGAGTTAGACATGACCCTCAATTTAAATGGGTTCAGCCCTGAGTAGAGGAAGCCTAACGCTTCTCTGTGCAGCGACTTACTTTATCCGCAAACAAAATTTGGTTTCATTCCGCAGGGCGCACAAGATGCCGCCGGAGCAATGCTAAGTAGCAAACTTTTAATCGACAAAAGTTGTTCACAGGTTGGATAAGACCCTCTGGCAGAGTCCGGCCAATTGACGACTCAAATGCTGGGAGGAGATCTTTAACGGAAGCCAAATTGAACGTGGACCAGATGAATGATTCGAAAGAGGCGAGCCGATAAGGGCTGGGGATAGCCTCAAACCAGCAGATATTGGAGAAATTCCCTTCCGCTGGTTTGAGAACTGCGGTTTGCAAGCTAAGCGCTGGGACCGCACGATTCTATGCTGCCAGCAAGATAATTTCGACACCTACCAACGTAGGTGAATTCTAGACTTGGCGCCCTTGGGGGGGGGGGCCCTGCCGGCACAGCCTCCTCACCCCACCCCTTTTACGACCAGGGGGTTGCCGTCTGTGGCCGCCCAGCAGGAACGGCGAACGGATTATTTTAAAATCCGTGAGCCTTTTGAAAAATAAAATTTGAATCGGCCTGAATTTGCAGCACAGGAAATCCACCTCCGTCGATTTGCAAGGACGGATTTACGGGACTCCTCAAGATCTTGCGATGGAAAAATCAGGAGCTTGACCCCGCCCCCAAAAAAGTCTTCTAAGACTTGTACAGAGAGCCAGTGGCCCAAACGGTTTAGAGATTTGGATTTAGAACAGCGCAAGGAACCCAGAGGTCTTCCTCCAGAATTTGCCACCCCACTAGAAAACAAAACCCTTGGGAAAACTTAAAACCTCCATGGGCATTATCTGAAATGAGCACCTTCAGGATGGGGGTGGGAAGGGTGGGGGGAGGGGGGAGGAAGAAGAAGGAAGTCCCCCCCCCCCAATTCATTGATTCCTCAAGCCACCAACACAATTTATCTCCCTGCTTTTTTTGTTCCTTTGGAACATTACGCTTGCTAAAATAGATAAAATCTCCAATATAATATATATTTATATATACACATATATATATGTATAAGTTTTAAAACGTTTAACAAACTAAAAACTCTGGAAGCTTCGTCTCGTATTTAATAGACCCCCTCTCTTTTCCCCTCCAACTTGGTTTCCAAAACTTTCCTCTAAACACCTCTTTCCCACCCCCCCAAGGGCAGGAAAAAACAAAAAAACCTTAAAAATTAATCTGCGGCTAACGAGAGGGGTACAACAAACTGCCTATTATTATGGGGAAGATCACAAACAAGATATATATATATATATTATAGACTTCTTATAAGGCTATTCTTTTCCTCGCCCCCCCAAAAAAGAGCGAGGAAACCCATATTTTAAAAGAGGAACTGGAGGAAAAGTTATAACTAGATTTTGTGACACCTTTTGTTTTTTTCTCGTTACGGGTTTTTTTTTGGTTGTTTTTTTTTTTTTTTTTTAGGAGAGTTCTTCCGTTTCGCCCTCGGACTTCACCCCCCCTACATTCAAACCCCCCGACGCCGCTTTGGCGCTGGAACTCCCGTCAAAGTGCTGTTCTAAGCCGTCCTGCGGCGCAGTCGCATCCTGCGTTTCGTGGGCCTCCTCGCCGCCCGCCAGGCTCCCGTCGTCGGGGTTGGAAGCCGGGGTGGCGGGGGGCGCGGAGGCATCTCTCACGCGGGGCTTGCGCCCCCTCCGGGAAGGGATCCCGTTGCAGCCATCCTTCTTAAGGTGCCGGTGCAAGTGGTCGGAGCGGACAAAAGTCTTGAAGCAGCTCTCGCACTGGTAGGGGCGCAGGCCCGTGTGGACGCGCATGTGGTTCTTCAGGTCGTAGTTATGGGCAAACGCCGCCCCACACTGCTGACAAAGATAGGGCTTCTCGCCGGTGTGTTTCCTCATGTGAACCTTCAGCTTGTCCTGCCTGTGTCGGAAAGAGGAGGAAGGAAAAGTTACGGAGGGAAGATTTAAGACAGAAGTACTGTTGTCGTTTTATGGGACGCGGGTGGCGCTGTGGGTTAAACCACAGAGCCTAGGACTTGCCGATCAGAAGGTCGGCGGTTCGAATCCCTGCGACGGGGTGAGCTCCCGTTGCTCGGTCCCTGCTCCTGCCAACCTAGCAGTTCGAAAGCATGTCAAAGTGCAAGTAGATAAATAGGTACCGCTCTGGCGGGAAGGTAGACGGCGTTTCCATGCGCTGCTCTGGTTCGCCAGAAGCGGCTTAGTCATGCTGGCCACATGACCCGGAAGCTGTACGCCGGCTCCCTCGGCCAGTAAAGCGAGATGAGCGCTGCAACCCCAGGGTCGGCCACGACTGGACCTAATGTTCAGGCGTATCTTTACCTTTTTACTGGGTTTTTTTTTGGAGGGGGGGACAGGGGGCGGGCAGGTGTGGGGGACTCCCTGGTCCTGAATGGGGCAAGCGTGTGCCTGAAGGACCAGGTGCGCAGCCTGGGGGTCATTTTGGAGTAATTAATAATAATAATAATAATTTATTATTTGTACCCAGCCCATCTGGCTGGGTTTCTCCAGCCACTCTGAGCGGCTTCCAACAATGATTAAAAATAAATTAAAATGTCAGCACATTAAAAGCTTCCCTGAACAGGGCTGCCTTCAGATGTCTTCTAAATGTCAGATAGTTGTTCTTCTCTTTGTCATCTGGTGGGAGGGCGTTCCACAGGGTGGGGGCCACCACCGAGAAGGCCCTCTACCTGGTTCACTGTAACTTGGCTTCTTGCAGCGAGGGAACCGCCAGAAGGCCCTTGGAGCTGGACCTTTTTAAGCCACTTACAGGTTTTCTTCCGAGTAGGACTCTGCAGCAGCCCGTTGGGCATTACTGAACTCTAGATCCCATCAACCTGAGCCAGCAAAGGGGCCAAAAATCATGACCACGTGGAGCTAAAGATTTGGCGATGGGCTTTGTTAGAAACTCAGATATATAATCTAGGTGCCAAATGGCTCCTTCAATTTGGTATTTTAATATTTTGTTGGAAGCCGCCCAGAGTGGCTGGGGAAACCCAGTCATACGGGCGGGGTATAAATAATAGATTATTTATTATTATTATTATAGAGGAATAATTGTCTCTTGTCAGCTAGAAAACATACTGTGAAATACACATATGAACAACCTCTTGCCGTCATTTCAAACGTAGTTAAAATGGCAACCTGGTAAGAAACTGCATACAGCCACACCTTGGAAGTTGAACGGAATCTGTTCCGGAAGTCTGTTTGACTTCTAAAACGTTCGGAAACCGAAGCGCGGCTTCTGATTGGCAACAGGAAGCTACTGCAGCCAATCAGAAGCCCCGTCGGACGTTTGGCTTCCAAAAATAGTTCACAAGCCGGAACAGTCACTTTCAGCTTTGCGGCGCTCGGGAGCCAAAACGTTCAGGAACCAAGCTGTTTGAAAACCAAGGTATGACTGTATATCTAGGAGGCCCACAGTCCAAAAAAACAAAACAACAAAAGCAAAAGAGTAACAGCTCACAACAAGCCTCCCAAAGTTACTAGTCCTCAGGTATGTTGAATCTAGCTTCCTGCCCCTGGACCAATTTTCTGGCAGTGAGTTTTGGCTTACAAAGAGCCAACTTTTAAGCACATTCTTATTTCCAAAGCTTGGAATGTTGCTTCCCTGGAAAATACCCAGGGTGTCCTATAATGATAACCAGATTGGGAGACCTGGGAGAACAGGGTTTGAAGCCCCGCTCAGCTCAGTGGGTGGGTAAAGGTAAAGGTAAAGGGACCCCTGACCATTAGGTCCAGTCGTGGCCGACTCTGGGGTTGTGGCGCTCATCTCGCTTTATTGGCCAAGGGAGCCGGTGTACAGCTTCTGGGTCATGTGGCCAGCAGGACTAAGGCGCTTCTGGCGAACCAGAGCAGCGCACGGAAACGCCATTTACCTTCCCTCCGGAGCGGTACCTATTTATCTACTTGCACTTTGATGTGTTTTCGAACTGCTAGGTTGGCAGGAGCAGGGACCGAACAATGGGAGCTCACCCCGTCGCGGGGATTCGAACCGCCGACCTTCGAATCGACAAGCCCTAGGCTCTGTGGTTTAACCCACAGCGCCACCCGCGTCCCTCATTGGTTGGGTACAAATGGAATAAACTAATAATAATGAGGAAAATAATAATAACTTTTTGGAGATGCAGAGAAGATAAAGTCCCGACCAGAGAAGAATGGCTGATCAAGTTGATGGATGTATGCCGAAATGGCTAAAATGACCGCAAGAATCAGAAATCAGGAAGACCAAAATTTTTAATAATGAATGGGGGAAACTTAAAACATATCTTAAAAACCATTGTAAACAGTTAAAGACGTTAGTAGGATTGGAATATCACTTGTAGTTTAAAGTTTAAAATCGTTAGTAGGATTGGACTATCACTTTTGTAGTTTAATGGTGAATTTTGGACACAATGGAGAGAGATAAAAGATGTGGGATTATCATAAAAGATGCAGGAGGAAATTATTAATAACAGGACCCACAAAGTGGGGAGAGGGAAGTGCAGGAAATTCTCTGGAATCTTGTTTCTATGTTGTACGTTCGGTATGTGACTGCAAAGTTTTAAACTTTACTAAATAAATAAAACGTATCATAACGAGCAAGAAATAAACCAAAAACAACAAAAACTAAAGCAACAGGTTAAAAACAAACACACCTTTTTGCAAAAAGTTTCCTACCTTGTTTTCCTGGGTGCAATTTTGTTCCTCCAGTAACTTGGGGCATTGACAGGGAAGGGCAAATTATGGGTTGTGGATCTTAAAACACCTTTCAAATTCCTCTCTAGGTGTGTTCAAAGACATCCGCTTGTATTTGGGGAGGCTGCTGGCACACACCTGAGCAGGCCATTGGGGGGGGGGTCTTGTCCACCAAAACCCGCCTCCCCCCCGAGAGGTCGGATTAACAGAGAACGCTGTTTCAATGCTCTAAATCCACATTGTTTTCAATGCCATCCCCCCCTTCCCTGGCCACATCTGTGCTTAAAATTTCGTACAGCTGACCTGGAGAACTTGGAAAGTTCATTTTTTTAAATGTTCCAATACGTCCAAAGAGAAGCGAACTAATTCAGTTCACGGTCAGTTCGCAGTTCATGTTGGTTTCTATTTCCCTCACTGAGCAGCAACTGCAGTCACAAGACATTGTTTTACATTCCACAGTCTGTACTGTTGGAGTTTCTCACGGGAAAGGGAGACTGGATGTGACGTACACTGGTTTCCTGTTTTTTCACTGTGTGATTCTCTCCAAGCTGTCGAGGAGAGAGGATGCATTTTCTGCTCTTGCAGAGGCAAGATGTCTTTCTGTAATATACCAGCTTTGAACTGTAAATAAAAGCAATATAGAGTATGCAGCACATTTTCCTCATCCTTCCGTTGGCAACAAGACTCTGCTTAAATCAACACGTGGTTATGGGCCCAGAGGTCGAATCGGAGTGCCGGCAGATCGGAATGCAGAGGGACGGATCGGAAAGGAATCTGCTCTGCGCGTAGAAGTGATTGATGAGGTATGTGCTACTGCTCCGGGCAGCCTGCCAGCTTCAAGATAATGGCTTTATGGCTGGACTTTGAACTTTTAAAGCCGGTTTTGCCGGGAATAGGCAAAAGGCTCCCAGGCACAAGTCACTATGCTGGGGAAATCGAAAGTAACTTTTAAGTGTGCCTTTGTAATAAAGCAGCTGCAGCAGTGACGCAGCAAGATTTAAAGCAGCATATGACGCTGAAGGCTAATGCCAGAGTCATGATGGCCCTTCAGGATGCTTGTGGGATTCCTAAGCTCAACAAGAAAAATTACGCCGACTGGGTTCAGTATGCAGAGGCAATTCTGCGGAAAGAGGGTTTGTTTGAGGTGATTACAGAAACCCCCAGTTCCAGTTACAGATGCATGGGAAGCTAAGGATTCCAAAGCAAGGGAACTCTTACATTGATAGTATCCCCAGAAGAGCTCTGTCTATTGCGTGATAAGACCTCAGCCAGAGAAATTTGGGACGCTCTGAGAGAGGCTCACTTAAGGACAGAAGCTGGATCCACTATGTATTACTTTAACAAGCTGCACAATATGGCTCTTGCTGAAGGTGGAGATGTGCGTTTACATCTGATGGAGATGCAAAATCTGAGACATGAGCTGCAACAGAGAGGACTCAACTTTCCAGAGGCTGTGTATTCTTTCATGATACTACAATCTTTGGGTTCAGGTTGGGAGTCTGTTGCAACCCAGATTGCTGTGCAACCAACTGCTCAGCTGACAGTGGACTTTGTTACTGCCGTGATTTTAAATGAAGCAGATCGCCGGGGTGCTAGCTGCATGGGCAAGGGGAGTCTTCACAGACGTCATCCCATAGTGCAGTGGAACCACCAGATGGCGCCAAAGCTTTGAAGGCAGTGAAATGCTACTCGTGTGGACGTCTAGGCCATATGAAGAGGGAATGCAGACATCCCAGGGCCAAGACAGAGCAGCGCAGCGAAAGCTCATCGCGCGGAAAAGGCCGAGGCAAAGGCAAAGGTCCGGTGTCTAGGACAACGCAGCACAAGGCTATGGTTTCACGCTTCACTCCAAAGGTTGCAGAGGTCCAGAAGACGTCTAGATCTTTCTTCGTTGTTGATTCAGCGGCCACCCACCACATGTGCAACGATAAGAAACTGTTTGTGTCTTTTACACCGCAGGAAGGTGCGATTCACCAGGCGGATGACCACACTATTCCCAGTAAAGGCTACGGAACTGTTGTTCTTCACAGTTTGGACTTATCGATACAGAATGTGCTTTACGTGCCAGACGCCAAACATAATCTGCTCAGCGTTGGACAGCTGAATGAGCGGAACATTGACGTTTCCTTCAAGAACAAGAAGTGCATCATCACAAAGAAAAATGATTATGTATTGCATGCAGAATATGTTGATCATTTGTTTGTTTTGTATTATGATGATGTGGTGCAGGATGACACTTGTTGCATTGCAGGTTCTAACAAAAGTTTGCATGCAGAATGTATTCACGATTTTCATCGCAAATTTGGTCATTTGCATTTTGAGGCAGTATCTAAAATGCCTGCCTTGGTTGAAGGTATGACTATTAAACCCTGCAGGTACCACATGAAGTGCAAAGCATGCGCAGCAAACAAAGTGAAAATGGCTGCGAAAGGTAAGGTGTCTAGTAGGAAAGCTACAGAACCATACCAGGTTGTTCATGCTGATTTGGTTGGACCACTAACGCCCTCTTTGGGTGGAAATAGATACTTCATGGTTCTCATTGATGCATTTTCTAGATATATTTTTGTGTACAATCTCAAGCAGAAATCAGAGGCTTTTCCTAGGTTCAAGGAATTCTGTGCTTGGTTGGAAAATGTGCATGGTAAGAAGATAAAGACTCTTTTCAGTGATCGCGGGGGGGAATTCACTTCTCAGCAGTTTGAAGCTTTTCTGACTGAGAAAGGAATTCAACACGATTTGTCTAGTCCTCGCTCGCCATGGCAGAATGGACTTGCGGAACGGGCAAATCAGACATTGCTTCAAGGGTTAAAGACCTTGCTGCATGATGCCAATCTTCCAGAGAGTTATTGGGCCGAATCTCTCTCGTGTTTTGTTTACAGTTACAATCGCAGATTATCTTCAGCGATTGGTTGTACCCCTATGAGAAGATGTTTGGCAAGAAGCCATACATCAAACACATGAAGATTTTTGGTTCTGACATGTGGGTTCGCTCACCACAAAACTCCAAGTTAGACAAGCGTGGATTGCATGGTATCTTTCTAGGTTATCAGAAAGGGTCTTACAGAATAATGATGACTGACTCTAAGACAATTAAGCTCACGAGAAGTGTTGAGTACAATGCAAAGTGGGGGAGAATGTGGGAATTTTCCAATGTTATCCTGATGACGGTGATGAGACTGAGGATAGTCAAAAGCAACCACAACAACCCACACCCACTGATGAAGGTTCTGAGTCTGAATCTGAAACTGAATCGGGTGATTCAGAGGATTTCAAGAGTGCGAAAGCCTCTATGCGACCCTCTGAAAGCTCTGATCAAGAATTGGAGGAACCATTGTTCACAATAGGTCGTTTTTCTCCTAAGAAGGAAGAGGAGAGTGTTGAAGACTTAAGGCTAATTCGTAGGTCACAGAGAGCCACAAAAGGCAAACCTCCAAAGAGATTTGCTGATGAGTTTGCTAAGATAGCAGTAACAGCTGTTAAAAGCTCCAAGAAGGTATTTGAACCTTCAAGTTTCCAAGAAATCCAGGGTTTGGATTCAAAGGAAGCTGAGCCATGGTTAAATGCCATGAAGGCTGAGCTTGATTCCTTAGAAAGGAACAAAACATGGGAGCTAGTTCCAGTAGTTCCAGGAATGAAACTGCTTGGAAGCAAATGGGTCTTCAAAGCGAAGACAGATCAAAATGGCAAGATAGTCAGACACAAAGCCAGATTGGTAGCCAGAGGTTTTGCACAGGTACCAGGTCAAGACTATCACGAGACCTATTCACCCACAGTGAGATATGAAAGCATTAGGCTTATGCTCAAGCTAGCTGCAGAGGAAAATCTACACATTAGTCACCATGATATTAATACAGCTTTTCTGTACGGATCTCTAGATGAATCACTTTATATGCTTCCACCTGATGGCGTACAGGTAAAACAGGGATTTGTTTGTGCTCTGAAGAAATCCCTTTATGGTCTCAAACAAAGTGCACGGTGTTGGCACACAAAACTCACTGAAGTATTGTTTTCTCTAGGTTTTCAGCAAGGGAAAGCTGATCCATGTGTATTTGTCAAAGAGGAGGGGCAAAAGAAACTGTACTGTTTGTTTTATGTTGATGATTTATTATTCTTTTGGAAAGATGTTGCAATGTACAATAGCGCCCTAGCTCAACTGAAAGAGCACTTTGACATGAAAGATCTTGGTGAGGTAAACAACTACCTATCTCTGGAAATAGAGAGAGATCAAGATGGTAACATTCTAGTACACCAGTCACGGAAAATTGCTGATGTGTTAAGCAAACTAAATCTGATGGATGCTAACCCTGTAGACACACCGATGACAACAGGTTATCAGGTAGATGACACTGAAGAAGCATTTTCTGACACTACACTGTACAGGAGTGTGCTAGGCAAGCTAAACTTCATTGCCAGATGTTCAAGACCAGACATTGCTGTTAGCTGTAATTTGCTAAGCAGACAAGTCAACAATCCTAGTGTCAAGGATTGGAAAGCTCTGAAACGCATAGCGCGGTATTTGAAAGGCACTATGCATTACAGACTGAGATTTAACAATCAGAAGTCTGGTGGTCTTGAGATATTTGCAGATGCAAGTTTTGGAAGTGACGCTACAGACAGGAAAAGTACGTCTGGAGTTTGCTACATGTACAATCAGAGTCTGTTTGATTGGTCATGCAAGAAGCAAACAACAGTTAGCTTAAGTACTTGTGAAGCTGAACTGAATGCACTGTCTTATTCACTTAAGGATTGTGAATGGTTAGTACAATTGTGCAAAGATATGAAAATTCCTGTCAAATGTCCAATCCAGGTTTACCAGGACAACAAAGCATGTTTGGCTTTGCTGAAGTCTGAAGGTTGTAAGCAAAGCACAAAGCACTTGCAATTAAAGTTGCAGCATGCTAGGGAATGTATTCAGAAGGGACTCGTAACGGTGTCCTATATGCCAGGTAATGAAATTCCTGCTGATGTATTGTCCAAGATTGTATCAAGGGATCAACACTGTACCTATGTGCAGAAGTTGGGTTTGTACTGATACTGTACAAACACGCTGCCCAGTGATGTTCACAGAAAGGGTGAGGTTGTTGGTTTCTATTTCCCTCACTGAGCAGCAACTGCAGTCACAAGACATTGTTTTACATTCCACAGTCTGTACTGTTGGAGTTTCTCACGGGAAAGGGAGACTGGATGTGACGTACACTGGTTTCCTGTTTTTTCACTGTGTGATTCTCTCCAAGCTGTCGAGGAGAGAGGATGCATTTTCTGCTCTTGCAGAGGCAAGATGTCTTTCTGTAATATACCAGCTTTGAACTGTAAATAAAAGCAATATAGAGTATGCAGCACATTTTCCTCATCCTTCCGTTGGCAACAAGACTCTGCTTAAATCAACAGTTCAGTTCCAAATGATCTCTGGCAATTCCGCCCCACCTGCAGCATTTAGATCAGGGGTCAGCAAACATTTTCAGCAGGGGGCCGGTCCACCGTCCTTCAGACCTTGTGGGGGGCCGGACTATATTTTGAAAAAAAATATGAACGAATTCCTATGCCCCACAAATAAACCAGAGATGCATTTTAAATAAAAGTGAGATAGGAGAACTGGGGGGGGGGGGGGGAAGGAATCACACATGACAAGCCTTGCACCCCTCTGGTTTCAGCTAGTACGTGGTTAGAAGACTCTGAATAGCCCGGGACACAAATTTTCACGGCCCTCTAGCAGCTATGGTGGCTCACTGACCAGAGGTTGTGTATTTTGTGTTAACTCTGGAAATGTATACAGTTGAACCTTGGTTTTTGAACGCCGTGGTACTTGTACGTTTTGCCTCCCGAACGCCGAAAACCCAGAACTAAATGCTCTGGTTTTTGAACGTTTTTCAGAACCCAAACATCTGACGCGGCTTGAGTGCAAGAAGCTCTTGCAACCAATCGGAAGCCGCACCTCGGTTGTCAAATGTTTCGGAAGTTGAACGGTCTTCCGGAACGGATTATGTTTGACAACCGAGGTTAAACCGTACTTGATTCTTACCCAACTGAGCCTACTAGAGGGGAATATGTATATAAAGACATCGAAATCTAGCTGGGAGGCAGGAAAAGAGGTCAAAACCGCAGCACCACTCACCTCAAGAAGCGTAATTCAGGCCTATCTGAAATTCACTTCCAAGCATTTCGTGTGGCGTCTCCCCTTCGGAACTCCCTGCCGATATATTGAGAGCAAGCCTTCACCGCGCCCACTCTCCTGCTTAGACAAACCTACCCAGATGCTTAGAAAAGTTGTGGTGGTTGCAAACTATTTTAGTACAGCGGTACCTCGGTTTTCGAACGTTGACGAACGTTTCGGACGCCATAAACCCAGAAGTAAACGCTTCCGTTTTCGAACGCGCCTCGGAAGTCAAAATGGCTTCCACTGAGCCTATGTTATTTTCCTCCATTAAATTTGCAGGCCGCATTTTGCGCCTCCGTTTCCGAACCTCGACCGGTCTTCCGGAACAGGTTACGTTCGGAAACCGAGGTACCACTGTATTTGAACCTTTGTATGTTGCAAAGCACAGTTACAATTCCACCCCTCGATTGTTTCATCTTTCGCAAATCGCCTTGTATAAGCAGTGCATAAATTTACGAAAATTTAGAACGAACGAACGAACGATAAATAATATTCTCACAGTAGTAAGGACTGGGATCTTCGGGAGGGGGGCAACACTGCGGACCCGCCCCCAGCCCGCCCCCTCTCCCCGTGCTCACCTCGTAAACCGAACTTTGCAAATGTTACATTCATACGGCTTCTCTCCCGTGTGGGTCCGGATGTGGCGAGGGAGTTTGCCCGCCCCTTGGATCACCTTCTCACAGATGGGGCACTTCTGGAATGCTTTCGCCCGGATCTTCTTCTCCGACTTGTGGGACCAGGACGGGTACTCGCCCCCCTCTTGGGAAGTGCTAAAGTATTTCAAGTAATAATCCATGACTCCGTCGTCGTCTTTGCGGTCGTCCTCGGCCAGCTGCTGCCGCTCCACGGAATTGATCATCCGTTGCAGGAGGGTGCTGGCAGCCAGGCCGTCCACTTCCCGGGGGTCCGCCTCCTCGCCCTCCCCGGGGACGAAGGCGGGGGAGCCCCCCGCCTCCTGCTGGTCCAGTTGAGCCGCCGCCTCGTCCTCCCCGGGCACCGTGGCCAGGCCGTGCCCGCCGTACTGTCCATTCTGCGAGGCGGGGAACAAGGGTCCCTGGGCGGCGGCCGCCTTGGCCTCTTCGGCGTCCAGCCACATCTTGCCGTCGGGGTCGCCGTCGTTCGCCTTTGGTCTGTCGCTGAGGGCGGCCTGAGTGTAGAAGTCCAGGCCGTTGCAGTCCGGCTCCTCCTTGACCTCCGGGCCCCGGAAGCCGAGCCGCTGAAGGTCCCTCAAGTCCGGGTTGGTCCATGGGTACGTGCCCTGCTGCCCATTGATGGGGTTGCTCTGAAAAAACTCCAGGTATTCTTTCGCTCTGAGATGGTTCCTTTGATCAATTTGATCTACTGTGTCCATCTGGTCGTGCTTGGCCAGAATCTTCCTGTCCAGCAGATCCGTGCAAACGTCCCTGACCGCCTGGATCTCTAGCAGCGTGGCGGCGTTGAGGATCTCGCCCACGTTCGAAGTGCTGACGGTGAGGGTGGCCGTGTAGGCGAACTCCAGCAGGGACGAGAGGGCCTCGGCGCTCACAAAGTCTATCTCGTACACGTTCTGCTGGTCGACCACCAGCCCTGAGGTGAAGAGCTTCTTGAAGTACTGGCTGCAGGCCGCCAGGACCGAGCGGTGCGTGGGGAACTCCTGCCCGTCCACCAGGATCACCACGTCGCAGAGCAGGCCGTGGTTCCGCTGCTCGTTCAGGCTGCTCAAGATGTCGCTGCTGTGGTCGGGGAAGGGGATTCCGATGGGGCCGTCCACACCGCCCTCCATGCTGACACCAGGGGGCTGGGGAGAGGAAAGAGAAACCGTCAAGCAGTGCTAGAAACCGTCAAACGGTGCTAGAAACCGTCAAGCGGTGCTAGAAACCGACAAACGGTGTTAGAAACCGTCAAGCGGTGCTAGAAACCGTCAAGCGGTGCTAGAAACCGTCAAACGGTGCTTGGAAACCGTCAAGCGGTGCTAGAAACCGTCAAGCGGTGCTAGAAACCGTCAAACGGTGCTAGAAACAGTCAGACAGTGCTAGAAACCGTCAAACAGTGCTAGAAACCGTTAAACAGTGCTAGAACCTGCCCCCCCCCCGCAGGTGGCTTCTGGGAAATGATATAAAATGAGCCAGAGAAAATGTTTAAGATAACTTTTGTTAAAAAAAAACCAGAGGCCTTTTTGTTAGGTATTATAGGTGAGGAACTACCAAAATAAAATTGGGAATTTCATCAGTAAGAGTGTGGCAAATCAAACTATGTTGAACATATAACTTGGCAAGGTCAACGGAAGTCTCAAGAGGACCATCAGACCAAAAATTAATAAAAGAATGGGACTGTGTTAAAGAGTATATGGGGGGGGGGACATTGTTCTGGAATAAATATATCGATATGTGACGAATGAAGTTTGCAGGCTTAAGGGGGAAAAAATAGTTAGGAAAGGTATAAAACTGGAAGTAATAAATGTACATATACATGTAACACAACGAAAAAGAAAAATGGAAAATTTGAAGTCGCTAAAGGATGGAAGGAAGTCAAAAGTTTAAAAGGCGCAAGGAGATAGGATAATAATATATCAAAGATGGAATAACAAATAAAGTGAATAACGCAACAATAACAAAAATAATAGTAGGTAAAGAACGGGTGTAAGGAAGTACTGGGCTGAGGGGAAGGAAGGCGAAGGGATTAATTGAAATTGTTAAAGACTGGTATAGTATTTAAGAGATTTAAATTTTCATAAAGCTTCTATCAGGAAAGCAGAATGCAGCAAGAAATATTAAGTAAAGGTATCAGAGAGGAGATCAGTGTAAATGAAAACACGAGACTGATGGTTTTGTTACGTATGATTTTATTTTGGAGTTGTCTGCTTATTTTGGAGTTGTTCGTTGCAAAGAATGTATATTATGTGAACTAAAAAAAATGTATGTATGTATGTTTGGCTATGTTCTGTAAGTGTTGCTGTTTCTTTTCTTTTCTCTCTGTTTTAGTTTTTTGATTATTGTTTTATTTTATTTGTATCTTATGTTGTAACTTGGCATGGGAGAAAAAAGAAAGAACGAAAGAAAGAGCAAATAAAAGACTGTTGATGTATGCAATGATGCTAGGATGCTCTTAGCCCAGAGATGGAAAGAAGAAAAAGTATCGACCAGAGAAAAATGACAGACAGATGGAATACGCAGAAATGGCGAGGCTGACGGGAAAGTTCAGAAACCAGGAAGACCAAGTATTCTTAAAAGACCGGAGTAACTTTTTAATATATCTGAAAGACAACTGTAGACAGCTGAAGTCACTGGCAGGAATACAATGACACTTGGTAAAGTAACACAGACTTTGGCTACTATGGTTATATACCGTATTTTTCGCCCTATAGGACGCACTTTTTCCCCTCCAAAAATGAAGGGGAAAATGTGTGTGGAACGAATGCAGGCTTTCGCTGAAGCCTGGAGAGCGAGAGGGGTCGGTGCGCACCGCCCCCTCTCACTCTCCAGGCTTCAGGAAGCTATCCCCCCAGCCCGGCAAGCTCCGGGAGCGATGGCGAAGCTGCGCGCAACCTCGCCTTTGCTCCTGGACCCCCAGCCCCAAGGCTAAAAACGAAGCCAGGACAGCCAGCAGGATCCATCCCGCTCGCTGTCATGGCTTCTTCACTCTTGGGGGCTGGGGGGGGAATATAATTCTTTTCCTTTATTACCCCCCCCCCCCAAAAAATAAGTGCGCCCTATGGGCCGGTGCGTCCTATAGGGCGAAAAATACGGTAGATGGATTAAGGTACAAGATGCAGGAAAAATAAAAACAAAAACATTTCAGTAATGGAACCGGCGGAGGGAGGGAAGGAGGTCTGAAGGTTCGAAATAACCTCCTTTTATTTATTTATTTGGAATGGTTATGCTTACTGTGTACAACTTTATGTAAAACCGATAAAAATTGATTAAAAAGGAAGAAAAAAAGAACACACGCACCCCGGCGCATTTTTAGCCACTGGCGAAGGGTCCACTTTGCGACGGACATCTCAAATGTGGGTCCCTGGATGTTGCTGGACATACAGTGGTACCTCTGGATGCGAACGGGATCCGTTCCGGAGCCCTGTTCGCATCCTGAAGCAAACGCAACCCGCGCCTGCGAGTCGCGATTCGCCGCTTTAGCGCGTGATGTCATTTTGAGCATCTGCGCATGCGGCGAAACCCAAAAGTTACGCGCTCCGTTACTTCCAGGTCACCGCGGAGCGCAACCCGAAAATGCTCAACCCGAAGCTACTTCAACCCAAGGTATGACTGTATTGCGAAATACACATATGCACACCCTCCCGTTGTCGTTTCAAACGTACGGTCATAGCTCATGTTACGTTCTTTCGGGTTATGTCCAGTGGCGACCCGGAAGTACCAGAAAGGGTTACTTCCGGGTTTTGCTGCTCGCGCATGTGCAGAATGACGTCACGCGCATGCGCAGAAGCGGCGAATCACAACCCGTGCGTGCGCAGACGAGCCGCTGCAGGTTGCGCTCTTTTCATGTTGCAAACGGGCCTCTGGAACGGATCCCGTTTGCAACCAGAGGTACCACTGTAGTTAAAATGGCAACCTGGTAAGAAACTGCATACATCTAGGGGGGCCAGCAGTCCAAAAAGAAAGGAGTAACAGCTCACAGAAAGCCCCCCAAAGTCGCTAGTCCTCAGATATGTTGAATCTAGCTTCCTGTCCCAAGCCCCCACCCCAGGAACCCAGAAACACTTATCTGACAGTGAATTTTGGCTTACAAGAGCCAACTTTTAAGTACATCCTTCTTTCCAAAGCTTGGAATGTTGCTTCTTTGGAAAATATCTAGGGTGTCCTATAATGATAACCAGATTGGGAGAACAGGGAGAACAGGGTTCGAAGCCCCGCTCAGCTCAGTGGGTGGGTACAAATGAAATGAAATATAATAATAACTACTAAAGCGACAAGTTGGAAACAAAACACACTTTTGCAAAAGTTTCCTACCTCGTATGTGGTTCCTGACCCCCGGGCTCTGCTAGCCCTCAGCAGTCCCACCGAAAAGCAAAAGTTAATTTCAGTGGGTCTACTTAGAGTTGGGGACGCGGGTGGCGCTGTGGGTTAAACCACAGAGCCTAGGACTTGCCGATCAGAAGGTCGGTGGTTCGAATCCACGCGATGGGGTGAGCTCCCGTTGCTTGGTCCCTGCTCCTGCCAACCTAGCAGTTCGAAAGCACGTCAAAGTACAAGTATATACATATACATATATATATATATGTACAGCTCCGGCGGGAAGGTAAATGGCGTTTCCGTGCGCTGCTCTGCTTCGCCAGAAGCGGCTTAGTCATGCTGGGCACATGACCCGGAAGCTGTACGCTGGCTCCCTTGGCCAATGAAGTGAGATGAGCGCCGCAACCCCAGAGTCGGTCACGACTGGACCTAATGGTCAGGGGTCCCTTTACCTTTACTTAGAGTTGGCTACAACTCTAACAACTTCTCTTTTTTTTTTTCTTTTTGTAGGGGAGAAGAGGGAAATCTGTGGAGGTGCTATTTGAGAGAGAACGATCAGTTGAGGATTAAGCTACAGGGCAGTACCAAATTAAGAGAAATGAACTATATCTTTCCTCCTGCTTTATTTATATCCAGACCTAATACTGCTCTGTATTTTAACAAAAAAACCCCACCAAAATGGTGCATCTGGAAGACAACACATTGTGCAAATTTGGTGTATTTGGTGTAACTAATATGCAATTACAGTGGTACCTCGGGTCTTCGGGTAACGTAATTTTGAGTTACGAATGCGGTAAACCCAGAAGTGTATACTTCCGGGTCTCTTCGCGCACGCATGTGCAGAAACGCTTTGCGCATGCTCAGAAACACTGTATCGGCCGCGTGTGCGCGCAGAAGTGGCGCCTCCGGATACGGACTTTTCGGGATAAGTATGGACCCCCGAGATGAATTAAGTTCATATTTGGAGGGTTCACTGTATTTTGAAACCACCACCTGCTCCAAATACGCTCGGGTTGCGAACGTGATCTGGACAGGATGGACATTCGCAACCCGCAGCGGCTCGTCAGCGCACACGCAGGTCTCAAATCAGCACTTCTGTGCATGCACAATTTAGCACTTCTGCGCATGCGCGACCTCCGAAATCCAGAAGTAACCCATTCTGGTAACTCTGGGTTTCGGCGGTCCGTAACCCAGGTGGCGCTGTGGGTTAAACCACAGAGCCTAGGACTTGCTGATCAGAAGGTTGGCGGTTCGAATCCCTGCAATGACGGAGTGAGCTCCCGTTGCTCGGTCCCTGCTCCTGCCAACCTAGCAGTTCGAAAGCACCTCAAAGTGCAAGTAGATAAATAGGTACCGCTCCGGCGGGAAGGTAAACGGCGTTTCTGTGCGCTGCTCTGGTTTGCCAGAAGCGGCTTAGTCCTGCTGGTCACATGACCCGGAAGCTGTACGCCGGCTCCCTTGGCCAATAAAGCGAGATGAGCGCCGCAACCCCAGAGTCGGCCACAACTGGACCTAATGGTCAGGGGTCCCTTTACCTTTAACCCAAAAAACGCAACCTGAAGTGTCTGTAACCTGAGGTATGACTGTACTTTGGAACGTCCAGGTTCAGAAGGGAATATACCCATTTCTGGGACAGCTCAGTGGGTTAGAGCATGGGATTCTTTAAGGCCAGGGTTCTGGGTTCGAGTCCTGTGTTGGGCGATGGGATTCCTGCACCACGGAGGGTTGGGCGAGATCACCCCCTTACTCCTCAATTCTATGATCCGCGCTGACATGCACCTCGTTGTACAAGAGGCACCCGGGTGCTTGTTTGCACATCGCCCTCCCATGCCATAGTCATGATGACCAAGCAAGGCTGAGACAGGAAAGACCGGCTCCCCACCCACCAAGCGCCAACACGAAACAGAAGGAAATTCCGGTTTGCCCAACCACGCAGGGTTTCTGGAGTGCCACAAGAGAGGGTGCCAGCAACACCCACCCACAACAGGCACGCTCCTGGCTCAAGAGAAACCAGGGTGGATAAAAACCAATGATTAAAAAACACACACCAAAAAACAGATTTTTTATTTACTTAAATTGATTATTTTTTAAAAAAAAAATTAAATTGGATTTTAAAAATAAAATGCTTTTGGAGGAAAAATCATTCCGAAGATTTTTCTCTTAAAGTTACATTCTAGTCCGAAGGCTATTCATCAGGAAATAAGGATTTGTTTTAAGTTTTTCATGTGTGCTAAAGCTCAGCCTAAGCTTTTCTTTTAATTGTTTAACCACATCAGTTAACAAACATGGACACATATGCTATAATGTTATTGTTTTAGCCAAACGAATTGTTTAAATTGTTACGATTATTTTTCTCCTTCCAATTAAGTACAGCAGAAAAGTTGTCCAAATATAAACAGTCAACTTATTAAACCTCGCAACGATTTCACAATTGCCTGTCTGTGTATTTCGAATAGTATAACCAAATCAGTCATTTTTGATATAACTGTAAAAAAAATGACTGAGAATTTATTATTCCAAAAATGAAACGGGTTGTAAATATTAAGATTATACCAGCAAGAACGACTCTTTCTGTAAAAAATAATGATTTAAATCAAGTCTTACTGGCTAGTGATTTAAATCGATTTGGTTTAAACCAAACCCACCCTGAGAGAACCCCACCATTCCATACCCCGCCAGACCTTCTTTTGAGCAACCCAGCAAACGTTGCAGGCTTCTAGTCCTCAAGTTCCTATTCTGTGAGCACTAAGAAAATCTGGATGCTGGATAGAGAGATTGTGCTAAGTTATTTCCCTTTATTCTGTGCATTCAGGTATTTGGCAAAAGAATGGTTCTAATAGCCATGGGGGAAAGCCAGTAAGGCGCCTCTGACGCCCAGGCTTCTGTGATATCAGCAGGCTTGCCCTCTTGGCACTGAGGACTAGCGCCTTGGTTTCAATTTAATAAAAACCAACATTCTCAGGGAGCAGGATCCTGTGTCCCAGGGGTCTGCAACCTAAGGCCCATGGGCCACAACGGTCATTTAACCGGCCCATAGACTCCCGCTTGCTTCCCATGCGCTGCACTAAACCGGCGCAGAGCACAGCAGAGCAGGGACCGCTCTCCACGACGCTGGCCGGCTTCCCATTGGCTGCAGGAAGCAACGCATGCCTCCTCCGTGCCGGAAATAGAGTTTGCGCATGTGTGCGCACGCGTACTCCGGCCCACCGCGGCGTCTGCAGGACCATAAACCGGCCCAAGCCACAACAACTTTGTTGACATCTGCGGTCCAGTAACTATGTTTTGTGCTGCTGGTGCAACTGTGGCGTTCGAATAGCTGCCTACCAAACTCCTCACGCCGCTAGTCCTCAATCTTGTTCCTGTTTTGTTGTTTTCGTTTCAACCACCTTTCACCACCTTGCGTTTCATCCTGTGAAGCACCCTGAGATCTTGTGAGAAGGGTGGTACATAAATCTAAACTACAACAACTACTACAACAAGCTTTGCTGAAGGAAATCTAGTCTTAAGTAAGGCTCTTACATCTTATTACTGATTTTAGACCATGGTCAGCAAACTTTTTCAGCAGGGGCCGGTCCACTGACTCTCAGACCTTGTGGGGGGCCGGACTATATTTTGAAGGGGGAAAATGAACCAATTCCTATGCCCCACAACTAACCCAGAGATGCATTTTAAATAAAAGGACACGCTCTACTTGTGTAAAAACATGCTGATTCCCGGACCGTCTGTGGGCCGGATTGAGAAGGTGATTGGGACGGATCCGGCCCCCGGGACATAGTTTGCCTACCCATATTTTAGAGCCTTAAGGTCCTAATATTCTCATCCCATCTCCCCAATCCAGGGTCTTTGTGTGGACACCCAATGGCAGAGATTTTTGCTGGATGCAGCAATTCCCTTTTGTGCCTGAAGAGAGCTCTGTAGGCTGGGCACAAACAGCCGCAGCGAGCCCAAGGTTCCCCGTTCAAATCCTGACATGCCTCCTCTTGTGACAATGCGAAGGCTCGCGTTACAATCAAATTCATTAACGCTGAATTGCATTATTTGCTCTCTATTTTTTTTAAAAGGGAAACTAAAATATGCAAATCAAAACGACGACAATACTGCTTGCCCTCTCGAGAGCTTGGGAGCGGCTCAAACGCTTCGCCACCACGCCCCTGACTAGGATCCTTACAAATAACCCGGTGAGGTAGGAACTGGTTGATGGGAAAAGAATCATAGAATCAAGAGTTAAAGGACATAATCTGCAATGGGGGGAAAGCAAGGAAGATGCAAAGGTAGGCTAGCAAAGAGGCATGGCCTGAGGAGAAGAGAGCCGCGAGGACCAGAGGGGGTCATTTCACCCCTTGGCCTGAGGTTCCCCACCTAACCCCCGGGCTAAATGTATAGATCAGGGATAGGCAACCTAAGGCCCTTCTCAATCCGGCCCGCGGATGGTCCGGGAATCAGCGTGTTTTTTTGTGGGGCCTGCCTGGTGTTTTTACGTGAGTAGAATGTGTGCTTTTATTTAAAGTGCATCTTTGGGTTATTTGTGGGGCATGGGGATTCGTTCGTCCCCCAAAAAATATAGTCCGGCCCCCCACAAGGTCTGAGGGACAGTGGACTGGCCCCCTGCTGAAAAAGTTTGCTGACCCCTGCGTTACAGTTTGCCCTTTCCAAACCCTCGCCGTCGCACAAAACAATCAAGGCATGAATATTCATTGCACTAACGCGTAAGGCATAGGTAGGCAAACTAAGGCCTGGATCCGGTCCAATCGCCTTCTAAATCCGGCCCGCGGCGGGTCCGGGAATCAGTGTGTTTTTACATGAATAGAATGTGCCCTTTTATTTAAAATGCATTTCTGGGTTATTTGTGGGGCCTGCCTGGTGTTTTTACATGAGTAGAATGTGTGTTTTTATTTAAAATGCATCTCTGGGTTATTTGTGGAACACAGGAATTTGTTCATTTTCCCCTTCAAAATACAGTCCACCCCACCACATGGTCTGAGGGACGGTGGACTGGCCCACGGCTGAAAAAGGTTGCTGACCCCTGGCACAGATCAACAGTAGGAAGGCCAAGCAAATCAGATGCGATTATTGCATCACATGGGCTTGGAGTAGGTAAAAAAAAGGTAAAGGACCCTGGACGGTTGAGTCCAGTCAAAGGCGACTCTGGGGTTGCGGCGCTCGTCTCACTTTCAGGCTGAGGGAGCTGGCGTTTGTCCCCGGACAGCTTTCCGGGTCATGTGGCCAGCAGGACTCAACCGCTTCTGGCGCAACGGGACACCGTGATGGAAACCAGAGCGCACAGAAACGCCGTTTACCTTCCTGCCGCAGCGGTACCTATTTATCTACTTGCACTGGTGTGTTTTCGAACTGCTAGGTTGGCAGGAGCTGGGACAGAGCAAAGGGAGCTCACCCCGTCGCGGGGATTCGAACCGCCGACCTTTCGGTCGGCAAGCCCAAGATGCTCAATGGTTTAGACCACAGCCAGGCCCGCCTTACCTATAGAGGCTAGCAGCGCAGGGCGCCAAGTTCTCGAGAGCGGTAGGCGAGAGTCCGGGGAGGACTGAACAAGTGCGCTGAGTGAGCGAGGGTGCGTGTCCTACTCCCACCGAGTGTCACCTCAATTTTTTCCCCTTTTAGCATGCAGGCGCCAAATTCTGCGGGGCACCAGAAGGCTAAAAGGGAAAAACCAAGCTGATGCTGGGGGGAGCGGCGCACACGCCCTTGCTTGCTCGGCGCAGGCCCGCTCACTTGGTGCGCTGCTTGCCGTGGCCACCGTGGCACGAAGCGGCCAGCTGAGCCAGGAGGCGCCATGTTCAGCCTCCACCTCTTCACCGCTGGAGGAGCCACCCTCCAGCCGCTGCCTGCCTCCTCCAGCCCTAAAAAAAGGTTGACAACTCTGTGAAAGGGGGACCAGCGCATATGCTTAAGCTGGCCCTGACCACAGCACCACCCGCATCCCATGCTTGGACTAGACAACCCCTTGGGGTCCCTTCCAATTCTGTAGAACTTAAGGTAAAGGTAAGGGGACCCCTGACCATTAGGCCCAGTCGTGGCCGACTCTGGGGTTGCGGCGCTCATCTCGCTTTATTGGCCGAGGGAGCCGGCGTACAGCTTCCGGGTCATGTGGCCAGCATGACTAAGCCGCTTCTGGCGAAGCAGAGCAGCGCACGGAAACGCCGTTTACCTTCCCGCCGGAGCGGTACCTATTTATCTACTTGCACTTTGACGTGCTTTCGAACTGCTAGGTTGGCAGGAGCAGGGACCGAGCAACGGGAGCTCACCCTGTTGCAGGGATTCGAACCGCCGACCTTCTGATCGGCAAGCCCTAGGCTGTGTGGTTTAACCCACAGCACCACCCGCATCCCTCTGTGGACCTTACTTAGGCTTACAGCAAGCACAGAGTCCAAGACATGCAGGCAAAGCAGGAGATGCAGAACCGAAGGGAAGCAACGAAGATTTCCCAATGTTTGCCACCATCCCCAGAGAGATTCTAGCCGACTCTACGATTCTTAGATTCTAGGATGAAATTATCAGTAAGAAAAGTTAAACGACAATGGACGAACAGTGGATTAAATCTTGCGGAAAGCTTTCTGAACACCTGGGCAGGCTTGTCTTCAAACAAAAACGCTATTCGTCGGCACCAAAATGAGCACAGCAAAGGATGCCTACCTGAGATTCAGAATGAGGCCATAAAGAGCCATGTCGAAATCAAGCCGGTTGTCTGTCTCAAGGCCTGCAATCCCAAATTTTGCAGCACACAGCTGCGGAGGCTGCCCAAGTCTACTTGACCTGCACTCTGAAAAGTCTTGCGTTCTCCCCCCTTGCCTATTCTTACAGCTCACCGCCTGCTCGCCCCACCAAGAGATACTGCAGTCCATTTACAAACGCTGCAATCATCGCAAAGACAGGCCTGAGAAGGCTCCTCGCCTCCCTGGGGTCCATTCCCTGCAGGCTTTGCGGAGACCTCTGGAAGCGTTGCAGCCCAGAGAGAGGGAGGGAAACGGGAAGGACTAGAAGGCAAGAGAAGCAGCGCCGAATGCAGCCCCTTTCTCCAATTCCACATGTATTTTTCTTCCTTTAAGGAAAGGAAAGACGAGTGGAAGCCAGCCACTTAACAACTGCATCTACCGTATTTTTTGCACCATAACACTCACTTTTTTCCTCCTAGAAAGTAAGGGGAAATGTCTGTGCGTGTTATGGAGCAAATGCCTGCGGGTGGCGGGGGGGATCTGCTGCAGTCGTGAGCAGAGGATCCATGGTTCCCCTTCCTTCCGTCCTCCGTGGTTACAATGCATGGATCCACAGGATTTTTGCATTGGGCTACTCCAAACGCACTGTCAGATCACATGTCTGTGGCCACAGCATGAACCACAAAAATCATATATCCACTATTTCGTTTAGAATATTTTTTTTTCTTGTTTTCCTCTAAAAACTATGTGCGTGTTATGGTCTGGTGCGTGTTATAGAGCGAAAAATACGGTACTCTCTGTTCCCTCGCGAAATGCAAGCACGTCCGTTCGGCGAGGAATGTGCTTGCTGGATGGTTTTCCCGCACCATGCTGAAGCTAACCGGGATTACACAGGCCCACGAAGGGCGTCGTCAAAATCCTGTCCCAGTATTTGGACCCAGGTGCTCTGAAAGGGGGTTTGCCAAGGTTTGGAAACCGCAGCAAGTACCAACAGTAGAAGAACGGCGACAGAAGGTAATGGAATATGCAGAAATAGCTAGATTAACGGGGGAAATTCGACAACGGGGCGATGAAACATTTCAAAAAGAATGGGGGAAATTTATGTCATCCACAGGAAGGGTAAGGTGAAACCGTGAAACCTCATAATGTGAAATACAATGAAAATTTCTGGATAAAGAAAATAATAAAAAGTAAAATGTACAATGTGATTAATGTAACCAATGGTAAGTAAAGGTAAAGGGACCCCTGACCATTAGGTCCAGTCACGGATGACTCTGGGGTTGCGGTGCTCATCTCGCTTTATTGGCCGAGGGAGCCAGTGTACAGCTTCCGGGTCATGTGGCCAGCAGGACTGAGCCACTTCTGGCGAACCAGAGCAGCGCACGGAAACACCGTTTACCTTCCCGCCGGAGTGGTACCTCTTTATCTACTTGGACTTTGGCGTGCTTTCGAACTGCTAGGTGGGCAGGAGCAGGGACCGAGCAACGGGAGCTCACCCCATCGTCGCGGGGATTCGAACTGCCGACCTTCTGATCAGCAAGTCCTAGGCTCTGTGGTTTAACCCACAGCGCCACCCGCGTCCCAACCAAGGGTAGTTGTAAATAAATACAGACAGACAATAAAAATTGTACATACAGGAGGATTTATTGACTACAGACACACTATGGACAAATATGAAAGAACAACAATAATATACAAAACGGATGAAGACCATGAGAACAAGTTAGATGTGATCTAAAAGGCCACGAGAGGGAAGGAAGGAAGTCGGCTCTGGGAAGCAGGTTTAAATGTGAAATGTATGTGTATGTGGAGTGTGCAAATGAAAATCAATAAAGAATATTATACGGGGGGAAAGGAGGTTGCTGTAACAGGATGGTGATGATGGTGAAAAGACCGTCTCGACTCCCGTCCACCTGGTCAAACCCACAGCTAATACTTTGGGTGGAAAACCAAGGATTTCAGGTGAGCAAAAACAAACAAAACCCATCGCTGTTCCAAGGTCTTAGAATCATAGAATAGAATCATAGAATCATAGAGTTGGAAGAGACCACAAGAGCCACCGAGTCCAACCCCCTGCCAAGCAGGAAACACCATCAGAGCACTCCTGACATATGGTTGTCAAGCCTCTGCTTAAAGACCTCCAAAGAAGGAGACTCCACCACACTCCTTGGCAGCAAATTCCACTGTCGAACAGCTCTTACTGTCAGGAAGTTCTTCCTAATGTTTAGGTGGAATCTTCTTTCTTGTAGTTTGGATCCATTGCTCCGTGTCCGCTTCTCTGGAGCAGCAGAAAACAACCTTTCTCCCTCCTCTATGTGACATCCTTTTATCTATTTGAACATGGCTTCACCCCTTAACCTCCCCTTCTCCAGGCTAAACATGCCCAGCTCCCTTAGCCGTTCCTAAAAACATGCACAGGATTAAGACATTAATATGTCTTAATCCTGTGCATGTTTTTACCCAGGGCTTGGAACGACCAAGTTGGGTCAAACGATGCTCGCCGAACTAGAACCATAGAATTGTAGACTTGGAAGGGACCCCTGGAGTTATCTAGTCTAACCCCCTGCAATGCAGGAAAGCTCAACTAAAGCACCCACGACAGGTGGCTTCTGCTTAAACACCTCCGACAAAGGAGAGTCCACAACCTCTTGAGGGAGCCTGTTCCACTGCCTAACACAGTCAGAAAGTCCTGGGTTCAAGTCCCACCCCCTGGAGCAGGAGAAAACAAACTCGATGCGGCAGCTCTTGAGATATTGGAAGACAGCTATCCTATCTACTCTTGTTCTCGTCTTCTCCAGAACGGCTGGGTGAAATGAACATGAAACCAAGTTCATTTGGGGGGGCGAGGCAGAACTTTGTGAAGCCTTTCTAAGTTCATCTTCAATATCATTCTCTTACCATTAAGGAAGGGACGCGGGTGGCGCTGTGGGTTAAACCACAGAGCCTAGGACTTGCTGATCAGAAGGTCGGCAGTTCAAATCCCCGCAACGGGGTGAGCTCCCGTTGCTCGGTCCCTGCTCCTGCCCACCTAGCAGTTTGAAAGCACACCAGTGCAAGTAGATAAATAGGTACCGCTCTGGCGGAAAGGTAAACGGCGATTCCATGCATTGATCTGGTTCACCAGAAGCGGCTTAGTCATGATGGCCACATGACCCGGCCAATAAAGCGAGATGAGCACCGCAACCCCAGAGTCGGTCACGACTGGACCTAATGGTCAGAGGTCCCTTTACCTTTAACTGTTAAGAAGGATATTGACAAGCCGGAATGTGTGCAGAGGAAGGCGACTAAGAAGACAAAGAGTGTTTATTTGACACTGGATGTCCAGTCCCTCCCAATACTGCTGATATCTGTACAGTCATACCTCGGGTTACAGTCGCTTTGGGTTGCGCAATTTCGGGTTGCGCACCGCGCCAAACCCGGAAATACCAGAACGGGTTATTTCTGGGTTTTGGTGCTTGAGCATAAGTGCTAAATCACGCTTTGCACATGCACAGAAGCACGACCTGCGCATGCGCAGACACGGCGCTGCAGGTTGCGAACGTGCTTCCTGCACGGATTTGAACTGGTTTGAACTGTGTTTATTGCGTTCTGTACATTGCCTTCAAATGTGTGTGGAAATCAATTAACAAATAAATAAACACAGTGGTACCTCGGGTTACAGACGCTTCAGGTTACAAACTCCGCTAACCCAGAAATAGAACCTTAGGTTAAGAATGTGAACAGAAATCGCGTGGCAGCAGGAGGCCCCATTAGCTAAGTGGTACCTCAGGTTAAGAACAGTTTCGGGTTAAGAACGGACCTCCAGAACGAATTAAGTTCTTAACCCGAGGTACCACCGATGGCCTCTGCCTCTATTTCCCTTTTAACGCCATCCAGACTGGTGCTGATCACTACCTTTTGTGGCCGTGTGAAAAAGTCTCTCTCTTTCTCTGTCTCTTGCGCGTTGCGAGACTCTAAGCTGGCCTCGCTTTTAAAAGAGCAGGTGGATCTGATAGCTAAGAGGGAGGGAAGGAGAGGCAATTTTTACCTTTCCACATCTGTTTGCGAATTGGTTTTTTTTTTTTTTGGTTTTTTTTTTTAAAGACCCCGTGAAAGAAACCAGAGGCCTTTCTTCATGGAATAATAGGTTTGGAACTGCCCAAGAAAGATGTTAAATTATTTTTGTATGCCACAACTGCTGCTCGAATTTTATTAGCTAAGAAACGGAAAACACAAGAAATACCAACAGTGGAAGATTGGCAGATGAAGATGATGGATTTTTCGTAGCTGGCCAACCTAACCGGAAGAGTCTGTGACCAAAAGGAGGAGGATTACCAGGAAGAATGGACGAAATTTAAAGATTATTTAGTTAAATATGTTAAATTAATTTACTTGGAAAAGCTTGAAAATACCAGATAGGCCTAGGATTTAGATATGTAATGAGATGAATTAACATGTTTAATGCTGAATTGGAAAGAAAGAAAGATGTTAAGTGTTTAAGTTAACTTTATAAGAATTTAGGTTTTGGAAAACCGTTAAAATGATGTACACTGAAATTCAACCAGGGGGATACGAGGAAGTCACTTAACAAGGTTACTAAGTTTGGTTTAAATACGGTTGAGATTTATGTCTGTTTGTGTATTTGTTTGTTTGTCTTAAAAAAAAAATTCTGGAAAATTAATAAAACTTTTTGAAAAATAAAATAAAAGACCTTGTGAAAATCCACCCACATTTCTGCGCAAATTTCTCCTGTACACACACATCGCCACTATGCATTTCTGCAACGTCCCCCGATAAAATGTGCTTGTGGTTTTTGCTAATGTGAACATTACTCTGCGCCCAGAGCGTCGCCTCCCCCCCCCCCCCCCGTTCGAGAATTGCACCTTGCAAAATTCCGGTGAATTTTGGAAGGCGGTTGCATTTCGGCTTGCGAATTGCTCCAGAAAGGTTTGCCTTTTGAAACGCAAGCCGAATCTGGTTTCTCCCCCATTCCCAGCTATACGTAGCAAAAGATCCCAAAGAGTCGAGGGGCCTAGCTGACAAGCAGGCGTCGCAGTCCGCCCCCACCCCGTTTCCCGGCAGAGACCACGTGCCTCATTCTTCCACACCCAGCGCAGAAATGCAGTGGGACGGCTAGAACGCTAATCCGTCGAAATTGGAAGAAATCCCAAAAAACACCTTCTGTAGACGCACGGCTTCCTAAGGTGTGGGGAACAGTTTGCAGGATTCAGCCGACCACAGGCGTATTGGCAAGGTGGATGGGGAGGAAAAATTTGCTGAGAAAAACAAGAGCTTGTTTACTCTTGTTACCGGAATGACAATGTGCAAGAAAAAAATCGATCCTTATGTATTACAGTCATACCTCGTGTTACGTTTGCTTCATGTTATGTTTTTTTCAGGCTGCGTCCCGCGGCGACCTGGAAGTACTGGAAAGGGTTACTTCCGGGTTTCGCAGCTCGAGCATGCGCACAAGTGCGAAATTGTGCTTTGCGCATAAGCGCCAAATCACGCCGCGCACCTGCGCAGATATGGCACTTCAGGTTGTGGGCTTTTCGTGTTGCGAACGGGCCCCCGGAACGGATCCTGTTCGCAACCAGAGGTACCATTGTACAGTGGTGCGCCGCAAGACGAATGCCTCGCAAGACGGAAAACCCGCTAGACGAAAGGGTTTTCCGTTTTTGAGTTGCTTCGCAGGACGAATTTCCCTATGGGCTTGCTTCGCAAGACCAAAATGTCTTGCGAGTCTTGAGATTTTTTTTTCCGCTTTCCCCCCCCTTTATCTAAGCCGCTAAGCCTTTAATAGCCTTTTAGCAGCTAATCCGATAAGCCTTTAATAGCCGCTAAACCGCTAATAGCGCTAATCCGTTAAGCCGCTAATAGGGTTGCTTCGCAAGACGAAAAAACCGCTAGACGAAGACACTCGCGGAACGGATTAATTTTGTCTTGCGAGGCACCACTGTATTAGGGATATATAGCATAGGAAAATGCCCCCTTCAGATTTGTTCACCTAGCTCAGGACTGTCACGACTGAAATCCCGGTGAGTCCATGTCGGTTAGATGGGTTTCTCCTAGCCCTAGATGGAGGTAACCCTAATCCTAAGATAAAGGTAAAGGTACCCCTGCCCGTATGGGCCAGTCTTGCCAGACTCTAGGGTTGTGTGCTCATCTCACTCTATAGGCCGGGAGCCAGCGCTGTCCGCAGACACTTCCGGGTCACGTGGCCAGCGTGACAAGCTGCATCTGGCGAGCCAGCGCAGCACACGCAACGCCGTTTACCTTCCCGCTGGTAAGCAATCCCTATTTATCTACTTGCACCCGGGGGTGCTTTCGAACTGCTAGGTTGGCAGGCGCTGGGACGGAACGACGGGAGCGCAACCCGCCGTGGGGATTCGAACCGCCGACCATGCGATCGACAAGTCCTAGGCGCTGAGGTTTTACCCACAGCACCACCTGCGTCCCACTAAACTCTAATCCTAGCTAGGGACAAAAACTTTCATTTATGTGATTACACACACACACACGCTTGTGCGTGCATATTTTACACGACACGTGTAAAGATATATCCTTAAATACATATGTATTATTAATTCTAATTAACTGAAAGTAGGGGAAAGGAATAATGCTTCCATTTGAGCAACTTGTTCCCCTGTTTAGACACCCCCAACCCATAAAGAAGGCTGATCGCCAAAGAATGGATGCTTTTGGATTCTGGTGCTGGAGGAGACTCTGGAGAGTCCCATGGACTGCAAGAAGATCAAACCGATTATCCATTCTGAAGGAAATTAGCCCTGAGTGCTCACTGGAAGGACAGATCCTGAAGCTGAGGCTCCAAGACTTTGGCCACCTCAGGAGAAGAGAAGACTCCCTGGAAAAGACCCTGATGTTGGGAAAGCATGGCAACAGCAGAAATGGCACAAAATCCCACAGGCCTTTGCAAGCGCAATCCCAGGAGCCGGGTTTTGGAGAGCTGGAGTCTGAGCAAAGTCTGGAGGGAGCAGCTGTGGTGGCGCTTGGTGGGCGTTGGGTTCTCTAAAGGGGTTTCGGATAGTTTTTAGAGGGTGTCTGCAAGCCTTTTTCAAAGGTGTTTCTGGTATAAGTAATTTCACTTACACGCATGGTGCCTGTAATACTACTACTACTACTATTACTACTACTACTACTACTAATAATAATAATTTATTATTTATACCCCGCCCATCTGGCTGGGTTTCCCCAGCCACTCTGGGCGGCTTCCAACAAAACACTAAAATACAATAACCTATTAAACATTAAAAGCTTCCCTGAACAGGGCTGCCTTCAGGGGTCTTCTAAAGTTTGGTAGTTATTTTTCTCTTTGACATCTGGTGGGAGGGTGGGTGCCACCACCGAGAAGGCCCTCTGCCTGGTTCCCTGTAACTTGGCTTCTCGTAGCGAGGGAACCGCCAGAAGGCCCTCGGTGCTGGACCTCAGTGTCCGGGCAGAACGATGGAGGTTAAGACTAGAGAATATGACAAATTCTTCCAATTATCTCAAGACAGAAGACGCACAGAAGACGGGAGGGGAACAGATTTCAGCTAAACGCCAGGAGAAACTTGCCACGGCTGTTCAGGCTGCCTCAAGGTGGTGCTGGGCTCCTTTTTTGCTGGAGGTACCGTATTTTTTGCTCTATAAGACTCACTTTTTCCTTCCTAAAAAGTAAGGGGAAATGTGTGTGCGTCTTATGGAGCGAATGCAGGCTGCGCAGCTATCCCAGAAGCCAGAACAGCAAGAGGGATTGCTGCTTTCACTGCGCAGCGATCCCTCTTGCTGTTCTGGCTTCTGAGATTCAGAATGGTTTTTTTTCTTGTTTTCCTCCTCCAAAAACGAGGTACGTCTTGTGGTCCGGTGCGTCTTATAGAGCGAAAAATACGGTACTTAAGCCACCTGCCATGGATGCTGTAGACCATGCGCCCAGCCGGGGGCCATATTGGACGACGACAGAGATCCCTGTCCAGCCACATGGTCCCAAGAGCTCCAGAACGGGAGCCAAATGGGCTCTCTGCCCAAACGCTCGCCAAGCCCAGACCGGCTAGGCTCTACCTAGCCGAGCAACTGCAGGTGTTCCCCGAACCGGTGGGGCAAGTCCTCAGCGCAGAAGGCCACATTGGAGGCACATCAGCCAACGCAGAAAGCAGGCAGGGCAGAGCTCTGAAGGAAATCCGGCAGAGCATGCTTTTCCAGTTATATAGGGCAATCAGGACGAGGCGCCACGTTCCCCGAGCCAGAAACGCAAGCAGCCTTTCTCGGCCGACGTTTCAGAAGTAGGGCAAGTCGCAATGGGATGTTGCAACGGGAGGCTGACTTAGAACAGGTTGCGCCACCAAAGGGAGTCCTTGCCAGGTCTCTCCTCTGTGACACCAGGGGACTGCGCTCAAAGCCCTTCAGAAACACAACTTCCAGGTACCCAAGCTTGGGCTTCCTTCCTGAACTCAGGTCCCCCTGTCCCAACTTGATTTGGTGCCCAGTCCTGGGCTTGGAATGAACAAAGTTCACTGGTAAAGGTAAAGGGTCCCCTGACCGTTAGGTCCAGTCGCAAACGACTCTGGGGTTGCGGCGCTCATCTCGCCTTATTGGCCGAGGGAGCCGGCGTTCAGCTTCCGGGTCATGTGTCCAGCATGACTAAGCCGCTTCTGGCGAACCAGAGCAGTGCACGGAAATGCCGTTTACCTTCCCGCCGGAGAGGTACCTATTTATCTACTTGCACCGGTGTGCTTTCGAACTGCTAGGTTGGCAGGAGCAGAGACCGAGCAACGGGAGCTCACCCCGTCATTGCGGGGATTCGAACTGCCAACCTTCTGATCGGCAAGCCCTAGGCTCTGTGGTTTAACCCACAGCGCCACCTTGTTCAAAGTTCACTGAGCTAGACACGACTGTGCCTGATTTCTCCATCTGGAAATCCTTGTATCTGGACCAGGGGTCAGCAAATTTTTTCAGCAGGGGGCCAGTTCACTGTCCCTCAGACCTTGTGGGGGGCCAGACTATATTTTGGGAAGGAAAAAAAAAAGAATGAATTTCTGTGCCCCACAAATACCCCAGAGATGCATTTTAAATAAAAAGGACATCTGAACCCTGGACCTTCTGCATGCAAGGCAGAGATGCTCTACTTCTGTGCTATGGCCTTTGCTACTTGCACTTTGACGTGCTTTTGAACTGCTAGGTTGGCAGGAGCTGGGACCAAGCAACGGGAGCTCATCCCATCGCGGGGATTCGAACCGCCGACCTTATGATCGGCAAGTCCTAGGCTCTGTGGTTTAACCCACAGCGCCACCCGCGTCCCTCTACAGTTGGTACTTGCTGCTATTTTTACTATTATTATATCATAGAATTGTAGAGTTGGAAGGGAACCCCACGGGTTATACAGTCCAACCCCCTGCAATGGAGGAACCTCAGCTACAAAGCGCCCGTATATTTATTCATATCCTGCCTTCATCCCCCGACAGGGACTCAGCGGGGCTTACAGACCAAATAAGAGCAGCTAAAAACCAAAGTAAAAATCCACAAAAAAACCCAACAACTATTAAACATTAAAAGAATTAAAACTCTCCCCCCAACATCTCACTATTGTTTTAAAATGTTTTAATTTTGGGTCTTCTGCACGGAAAAGGAATTTTGGCTCCTGAAATTCATCATGTAGATAAAAACATAACAAGATAGAATTCTACTGGGTGTGTTGCTAGCGTGAGAAGACAGTCCAGATCATGGGTAGGCACGGATCCGGCCCAATCGCCTTCTAAATCCGGCCTGCGGATCAGCGTGTTTTTTGTGGAGCCTGCCTGGTGTTTTTACGTGAGTAGAATGTGTGCTTTTATTTAAACTGCATCTTTGGGTGATTTGTGGGGCATAGGAATTCGTTCGTCCCCCCCCCCCAAAAAATATAGTCCGGCCCCCCACAAGGTCTGAGGGACGGTAGACCGGCCCCCTGCTGAAAAGGTTTGCTGGTCCCTGGTCCAGATACAAGGATTTCCAGATGGAGAAATCGGGCACAGTCGTGGGACCCAGGCACTTGGTCGCAAGTGGCCGATTGTTGTTTAGTTGTTTTGTCGTGTCCGCCTCTTTGTGACCCCCTGGACCAGAGAACACCAGGCACTCCTGTTTTCCACTGCCTCCCGCAGTTTGGTCAGACTCATGTTTGTAGCTTCGAGATCACTGTCCAACCATCTCATCGTCCGTCGTCCCCTTCTCCTTGTTCCCTCCATCTTTCCCAACATCAGGGTCTTTTCCAAAGAGTCTTCTCTTCTCCTGAGGTGGCCAAAGTCTTGGAGCCTCAGCTTCAGGATCTGTCCTTCCAGTGAGCACTCAGGGCTGATTTCCTTCAGAATGGAGAGGTTTGATCTTCTTGCAGTCCGTGGGACTCTCAAGAGTCTCCTCCAGCACCAGAATTCAAAAGCATCCATTCTTTGGAGATCAGCCTTCTTTATGGTCCAGCTCTCACTTCCATACATCACTACTGGGAAAACCATAGCTTTTACTATACGGACCTTTGTTGGCAAGGTGATGTCTCTACTTTTTAAGATGCTGTCTAGGTTTGCCATCGCCTTTCTCCCAAGGAGCAGGCGTCTTTTAATTTCGTGACTGCTGTCACCATGCAGCAGTCAGATAGCCAGGTGCAAAATGCGCCTGGCGCCTGGCTAATTTCAAACACTGCCCCAAACTTGCAACAGGGAGCTGGGGAGCGCTCGACCCTGAGCAGATTTTGGGCGCACACTGGTGGGAGGTTGCACTTATGGAACAACGCTGTTTAGTGCAGCCTTGGATACAACCCATGACGGCCAGAGCTCTCACCGCAAATGTATGAACAGTCTACTGAAGAAAGAACCAGCACTCTGCTTGCGCTCAGAGAAACTCCTTGAGCTGTAACATGGCGCAAGACTAAGCAAGCCCTGACGTAAAGGTCGCAGGGCTGATTCATCGCTCATCTTATCATCATCGTCGTCAATTTTATTTATACCCTGCCCTCCCTGGCTAGAGCCGGGCTCAGAGAAGCTAACATCAATAAAATCACAGTAAAAACATAATAGGGGGAAAAGAAAGGGAAAAAAACATTTTAAAATACAGGTTAAAAGGCAATTTAAAATGCAGCCTCATTTTAAAAGTAGCCGATAAATCAAGACCATAAGGGGAGGGAAACAGAAGGGTCAGACTGAGTCCAAACCAAAGCCCAGGCGGCACAGCTCTGTCTTGCAGGCCCTGCGGAAAGATGTCAAGTCCCGCAGGGCCCTAGTCTCTTGTGACAGAGTGTTCCACCAAGTCGGGGCCAGTACTGAAAAGGCCCTGCCCCTAGTTGAGACCAGTCTAACCACCTTGAGACCTGGGACCTCCAAAATATTGTCATTTGTGGCCCTTAAGGTCCTCCGCGGGGCATATCATCACCATCAACTTTATTGCACTAGTCAAAGGCTACGGCATCATTCACAAAGGGAACAAAGAAAAAAGCAACAATAACCATGAAAACCACAAAAAAATCAGGAGCTGCAGATACAGTGAGCCACGATCACATCTCCTAAAAATTATTTGTTGCACACGATAGAATAGCAAGGGGTTCTCAGGTAGAATGTGCTGGCTTAAATGTCCGAATCACCTTTGCAATTGACCGCAATTTTATCTAGTTCTTTTCGTGTGATCTTCTTAGCTGCCAATGCATATAAAGGTAAAGGGACCCCTGACCGTTAGGTCCAGTCATGGCCAACTCGGGGGTTGCGGTGCTCATCTCGCTTTACTGGCCGAGGAAACCGGCGTACAGCTTCCGGGTCATGTGGCCAGCAGGACTAACTAAGCCGCTTCTGGTGAACCAGAGCAGCGCACGGAAATGCCGTTTACCTTCCCTCCGGAGTGGTACCTATTTATCTACTTGCACTTTGACGTGCTTTTGAACTGCTAGGTTGGCAGGAGCAAGGACCGAGCAACGGGAGCTCACCCCGTCATTGCGGGGATTCGAACTGCCAACCTTCTGATCGGCAAGCCCTAGGCTCTGTGGTTTAACCCACAGCGCCACCCGCGTCCCCTGCCAACCCATATAGTGCTGTTTTATAAGTTACGAAGTCATCGGTATAACTCAGCCGCCATTTCACCCTTTCCGCCCTGTCCGAGTGTGTTCCATTCGTGAGCAGGGCTTTTATAAATCGGCCTCTTGGTTCTATATATAGCGGGCATTGCAATAATTGAGAACCATTGTGAACGTTTGGCAGAGGCAACCGTGGTTAAACCCCTTTCTGCATCGGACCTAAAGAGACAATCTCTCAAGTGCCTCTTATCCATCTTCATGATCACCTGAAGATCTCGTAACTGATACAGTGGGACCTCGGGTTACATACGCTTCGGGTTACAGACTCCGCTAACCCAGAAATAGTGCTTCAGGTTAAGAACTTTGCTTCAGGATGAGAACAGAAATTGTGCTCCGGCGGTGCAGTGGCAGCGGGAGGCCCCATTAGCTAAAGTGGTGCTTCAGGTTAAGAACAGTTTCAGGTTAAGTACGGACCTCTGGAACGAATTAAGTACTTAACCCGAGGTACCACTGTATTTGGTCAATCAAACTTTTTCAACAGGGGGTCGGTCCACTGTCCCTCAGACTTTGTGGGGGGCCGGACTATATTTTGGAAAAAAATATATATAACAAATTCCTTTGCCCCACAAATAACCCAGAGATGCATTTGAAATAAAAGGACACATTCTAAAATCACGCTGATTCCCGGACTGTCCGTGGGCTGGATTTAGAAGGCGATTGGGATGGATCCGGCCCCCGGGCCTTAGTTTGCCTACCCATGGTCAAGAGGCTCATCTTATCCGGGTATTGCAAAAGGAAATGAGGGTTTTTAGAAGCGCCCAGGAAGAGGGGAGATTCAGCTCTGTGAGGGGAAATGGGGCATCTCCTAATGACTCTCAGCATCCTTTAAAAACTATGGGGGGAACAGGCTGTGATTCTTGCGATTCCTGCATTGAAGGGGGTTGGACTAGATGACCGCTGGAGGTCCCCGTCCAACTCCACAATTCCATTCTTCTAACTAGACATCATCTTAAAAAGCAGAGACATCACCTTGCTGACAAAGGTCCGTATAGTTAAAGCTATGGTTTTCCCAGTAGTGATGTACGGAAGTGAGAGCTGGACCATCAAGAAGGCTGATCGCCGAAGAATGGATGCTTTTGAATTCTGGTGCTGGAGGAGACTCTTGAGAGTCCCATGGACTGCAAGAAGAACAAACCTCTCCATTCTGAAGGAAATCAGCCCTGAGTGCTCACTGGAAGGACAGATCCTGAAGCTGAGGCTCCAAGACTTTGGCCACCTCGTGAGAAGAGAAGACTCCCCGGAAAAGACCCTGATGTTGGGGAAGATGGAGGGCACAAGGAGAAGGGGACGACAGAGGACGAGATGGTGGGACAGTGTTCTCGAAGCTACCAGCATGAGTTTGACCAAACTGCGGGAGGCAGTGGAAGACAGGAGGGCCTGGCGTGCTCTGGTCCAGGGGGTCACGAAGAGGCGGACACGACTAAACGACAACAACATTGCTGTTAAAAGTGGCATAACTGTGCTCGAATGCCAAAGAGCAGTTTTTGACTCCAAAAACTGGACTCCAGTCACCTTTGGAGAACCTGCAAGCATCTCTCACCACAATAACACACACAAAAGCATTCAAAAGCTCCAGTTTTAACCCGCTCCTTAGGAAAATTGCAAGAAGAAAACAATACAGTAAATTTCTACTGCCGCTAAAGAACTTGGCTGCGGTGTGGATCTCAAAAGGTGGGCTGGGGTTTTTTTTTATATTTCATTTCGTTCCCGCTCTCCTGGGCACAGAAGGGAATAAGCAAACTTTAAATCTCCTCCTACACGTCGCCTGGGCGGAAGGAACGCAGAACGCGGTCCTAACTAAACCACAATCTCTCCTCCTTCGCAGGTTGCTCCAAAACAAAAACCCAAACATCTACGATCCCCTTTCCTCTGGCAAATCCTCAAAATCCAGAGATTTGTGCAACACCCGATATGCTCTCGGAATTCTGCGTGGGGTTCTGGTCGCCTCGGTCCTGAAAGGAGTTCGAAAAGGTTGATGGAACAGGCCAGATCAAAGGGGTCGCAGCGACTCCCCTATGAAAAAAAGGATGCAGTATTTTGGGAGGGGGGGTCAGTTTAGAGAAAAGGTGAGTAAGGGGGAAGATGGAGGTGAATAAAATTATGCAAGGCATCAGTGCTATTTTTCTAGACAGTGACCACCTGAGAGGCGCCGGAACCAGGGAGGATTTGATTTAAAACAAATCGATTTAAATCATGGTTTAAATCACTAGTCAGTAAGACTTGATTTAAATCTTTTTCTTTTTCTTTTTTCAGAAAGACTCGTTCTTGCTGGTATAACCTTAATATTTACAACAAGATGGAGGTTTTGTTTTTGGAACCTTAAATTTTCAGAGTCGTTTTTACAGTTATATCAAAAAGTACTGATTTGGTTATACTATTAGAAATACACAGACAGATAATTATGAAATTATGGTGAGGTTTAATAAGTTGACTGTTTATATTTCGACAACTTTTCTGCTGTACTTTATTGGAAAGAGAAAAATAGTCATTTCCTTAATAACAATTTATTTAACTAAAACAGTAACATTGTAGCATATGTATCCATGTTTGTTAACTGATGTGGTCAAACAATTATGCCCCCCCCCTCTCTCTCTGTGTGTGTGTGTGTGTACACACACACACACACACACACACACACATGGTAAAGGGACCCCTGACCATTAGGTCCAGTCGTGGCCGACTCTGGGGTTGTGGCGCTCATCTCTCTTTATTGGCCGAGGGAGCCAGCGTACAGCTTCCAGGTCATGTGGCCAGCAGGACTAAGCTGCTTCTGGCGAACCAGAGCAGCGCACGGAAACGCCATTTACCTTCCCGCCGGAGCGGTACCTATTTATCTACTTGCACTTTGACTTGCTTTTGAACTGCTAGGTTGGCAGGAGCAGGGACCGAGCAATGGGAGCTCACCCCGTTGCAGGGATTTGAACCGCCAACCTTCTGATCGGCAAGTCCTGGGCTCTATGGTTTAACCTACAGCACCACCCACGTCCCCTAGAGACTGTGTTTAAAACAAAAATCGCATTTGGATAGAAACTGTTTCTCAGGCGGCTAGTCCTAGTCTTTATAACCCTGTACCTTCTTCCAGAAGGCAGAAGCTGAAAGAGATCATTTCCGGGGTGCGCACTATCCTGCGCTATCTCTGCAGCTTTCTTATGGCACCTGGAAGCGTAGATTTGATCCAAGGTGGGAAGAGTGCACCCAACTATTCTCTCCGCAGTCTTTACAACCCTAGACAGCATTGTTTTTTCCCCTGACCGTGCAGCTCCCAAACCACACACACAGACCATATATATACTGAGTTTTAGCACACATGAAAAACTTAAAACTAATTCTTATCTCCTGATGAATAGCCTTTGGACTATAACGTAACTTCAACAGAAAACCATCTTTTGATCCAAAAGCATTTTGTTTTAAAAACCCAATTTAAATAGTAATTAAAAAATCAGATTTAATTTTTTTTTTTTTTTAAGAAAGGAAGGGAGGGGTTAAAGCTTGCCGATGGAAAGAGAGGAATTTGCAATTTGCAATGATTCCCGGCGTCTGTCTTGCGCGTGTGTGGATGGGCAGAAGGGATTTCTTAGCTTGCTGCTGGCTCCCTGCAAAGTGTAAAATATGCAACCGAGGAGGAAGTGAGGACGCAAGAAATTCCTAGGAACTCTGCCCTATTATTAGGAGCCCTGTCTCCCCTCCTCCCCAGTCTTCCTGCAAAACGAGATCGGGAAGTACAGCTGACGAAAGGAAGGAGGGGGAAGAGAGAATATGCCGCCTCCTTCTTGTCTAGGCACGAAGTGACAGCCAGGGGGTGGAAGGGGGAAAGGGGGAGAATTACCTGTCCCTGCAAGCCCAAGGTGAGCGCCCACATCTTCGGGGTGGAACATAACAAGCCTCTCCCTTGCAGCCCTCCGGATTCCAAAGCGTCTCTGACCATTGGGCCTGCTGACCTGCTCTGGAGGGCAATAGGTTTTCCCCTAGCCACGATGTAAGAAGAGGTACCCCCTGACCAAGAGGGAATACCTCTTCCAAACTGTGACAAGAATAGGTTTTCCAACTCTACAATTCTACGAAATGCAATAAATACATAATAATCAATAATCCCTGCTTCTTTTAGACGACCTAGGCCCCATTTAGGGCAAATCTCTTGTCACCTGAAGTGACAATTCAGATGCTTTCTGGGGGAAACCACAACCACCACCACAACAATTCTATTACCGGATTTTTTGCTCTATAAGACTCACTTTTTCCCTCCTAAAAAGTAAGGGGAAATGTGTGTGCGTCTTATGGAGCGAATGCAGGCTGCGCAGCTATCCCAGAAGCCAGAACAGCAAGAGGGATCGCTGCTTTCACTGCGCAGCGATCCCTCTTGCTGTTCTGGCTTCTGGGATTCAGAATATTTTTTTTCTTGTTTTCCTCCTCCAATAATTAGGTGCGTCTTGTGGTCTGGTGTGTCTTATAGAGCGAAAAATACGGTACCTCGACTTCCAAGAAAATACAAGAGTGATCTATTTCCGCTGGGCCTGCTCGCTTTCGAAAAAACGTCGCGAAAGAAACATTTTGCACTTTGGATCTCAAGCGGCAAGAAATCAAGTCTTCCGACACACGACGGCAAGGAGCCCAGGAGATCCCTTTTCGACCGGCCGCATGATGCAGGTTTTTAGTATGTGTGAGGCATTCTGAGCACCCGGCAGCAAACCGTTGTTAAGAACAGAATTAATATCCGTACGGAAGATAACAAGCAACACCTGGTTTCGCTTTTTTTGCCTGCTCCGACATCGCAATGGGGCAGTTCCAAGTTTAGGGGGTCAATTCAGGGACAGACGGAAGCCGGGGACATCCTTCTGAATGCATGCCCAAACACAATAACTGCATTGCACGATTGCGCCGTGGGAATCCCCTGGTTCCCAACAGAAGGAGGACTGGAACTCAAGACCCCGGTTTCTACCCAAACCCTTAATGCTAATAATAACAACAACAATAATAACAATATTTATTATTTATACCCTGCCCGTCTGGCTGAGTTTCCCAGCCACTCTGGGCGACTTCCAAAAAGATTAAAAATATATCAAAATGTCACACATTAAAAACTTCCCCGAAGAGGGCTGCCTTCAGATATTTTCTAAATGTCAGGTAGTTGTTTATCTCTCTGACATCTGATGGGAGGGTGTTCCACAGGGCGGGCGCCACCACCGAGAAGGCCCTCTGCCTGGTTCCCTGTAGCTTTGCTTCTCGCAGTGAGGGAACCACCAGAAGGCCCTCGGCGCTGGATCTCAGTGTCTGGGCTGAACGGTGGGGGTGGAGATGCTCCTTCAGGTATACTGGACCGAGGCCATTTAGGGCTTTCAAGGTCAACACCAATACTTTGAATTGTGCTTGAAACGTCCTGGGAGCCAATGTAGGTCTTTCAGGACCGGTGTTATGTGGTCCCGGTGGCCGCTCCAAGTCCCCAGTCTAGCTGCTGCATTCTGGATTAGTTGTAGTTTCCAGGTCACCTTCAAAGGTAGCCCCACGTAGAGCGCATTGCAGTAGTCCAAGCTCAGATCAGTACGTGAGCAGAATAGTGTTCAAAAGCAAAACTGGTGGTCAGGCACTGATGGAAATTCATGATATATAAGCTAATCACCAAAGAGCATCATAAACCTAGGCTGTGGCTGTCACAACGGACTGTATAAGGACTTTTTCTTTCCCTGCCTGATGAAATTATTATTACTATTACTATTATTATTATTAATTATTATCAGTCGTACCTCCGTTTATGTAACCCTCTGGTTACGTAAACTTCAGGATGCACGCACGGCAAACCCGGAAGTATTTTACCAGGTTTCGCCCCGCGCGCACGCGCAGAAGCGGTCCTTAGGTTGCGGAAACCTTGGGATCCAAATGGATCCCGTCCGCAACCGGAGGTACCACTGTATTATTATTATTACTAAAGTGGTACCACGGTTCTCGAATGTAATCCATTCCAAAGACCGTTTGACTTCCGAAACGTTCGAAAACCGAGGTGCAAAGGGCTGGCTGCAAATTCAATTGGAAAAATTGAAAAAAAGGAAAAAAAAAACCACCGGAAGCCATTCGACTTCCGAGGCGCGTTTGAAAACGGAAGCAACTACTTCCGGGTTTTCGGCGTTCGAAAAACGAAATGTTCAGCTTCTGAGACGCTTGAAAACAGAGGTACCACTGTATTTGTTGTCGTTGTTGTTCATTTATTTTTATGCCACTTTATATTATGAAGGAAAAGAATCTCAAAGCGGTTTGCGACACGCGAAAACATCCGACGAAACGATCAGGAACTTGTTTTGTTCTGGAGTGTTTTGTTGCATGTTTTCACGTGTTGTGAAGCCTTTTGAGATATTTTCTTTATACAGTGGTACCTCGGGTTACAGACGCTTCAGGTTACAGACTCCACTAACCCAGAAATATTACCTCGGGTTAAGAACTTTGCTTCAGGATGACAACAGAAATTGAACTTTTGGTAGAGGCAACCGTGGTTAAATCCCTTTCTGCATCGGACCTAAAGAGACAATCTCTTAAGTGCCTCTTATCCATCTTCATGATCACCTGAAGATCTTGTAACTGATACAGTGGTACCTCGGGTTACATACGCTTCGGGTTACAGACTCCGCTAACCCAGAAATAGTGCTTCAGGTTAAGAACTTTGCTTCAGGATGAGAACAGAAATCGTGCTCCGGCGGCGGGCTGGCGGCGGGAGTCCCCATTAGCTAAAGTGGTGCTTCAGGTTAAGAACAGTTTCAGGTTAAGTACAGACCTCCGGAACGAATTAAGTACTTAACCCGAGGTACCACTGTATTTAGAAAGAAATGAAATGTAATTTCCCTCCTCCTCAGGGGGGAAACAGCGCTGTTGTGCTGACCCTAAGCTACAGTCGGTTTAAGATGCCATATGGCGATTAGCTGCCCCTAACCCTGGTCGTAATACTAATTTAAGAAGGGGAGGGGAAGGCTGAAGAACGGCCGGCCCCACATTCAAACACTTGCAGGAGATACAGGGAAACTGAAAGCTCGAAAGCAGGTTAAACAACTACAAGGAACATCTGTGGGAAACCCAAGGAAATGACCTCGCTCTGGAAGCACTGCCAACATTGCATAAAACTCAGAAAACACGGCTGCCCGGAAGAATGCCTTCCTGTTCGTACGGAGAAAGAGAAAGTAAACTATACAGAGATACCTAGGTGACCTTTAGGCAAAGATACTGAAATCTATTATGCCGAAAGGGCTAAAATGACCGGGAGAATCAGAAATCAGGAAGACCAAAATTTTAACAAGGAATGGGGGGAAATAATTATAATCTATCTTAAAGACCATTGCAAAGAGCTAAAATCGTTAGCGGGATTGGAATAACGCTTGTGAATTTTGGACAAAATGGAGATGTTAAAGATCAGGATTATCATAAAGATGCAGGAGGAAATGATTTAATAACAGGACCCAGAAAGAGGAGGAAAGTCCAGGAGATTCTTTGGAATCTTGTCTTTTATGTTGTACGTCGGATATGTGATTGTAAAATATGAAAAATCGAGTAAGTAATTTATTTGTTTGTTTTCTTAAAGATACTGAAATCCATCACCATTTCAATTTATTTCCCACCCTTCGCTTCAAGGTCCTGGGGTGGGTTGAAACTGTTTAAAATGGGCAACATTAAAAACGATTTCTAAAAACTTCCGATTACCACGAAAAAAACGACATTCGAATAAGAACAACAACTTCTAATAAAAAGCAGCAAAGGTCAAAACCATTGCAATTATTTATTTTTATTTGTACTCCGCCCATCTGACTGCGTTGCCACTTTGGGCAGGATTCAGATCTCCAATCTTTCTGCATTACAAATCTTCCAAGGCTGTTTTCTATTTTGAATGAGAGAGAGAGAGAGAGAGAGAGAGAGAGAGAGAGAGAGAGAGATTTCTTTCCCCAGGTCATGGGGTTGCATCCAGCAGCGCAACCTCTCGTACCGTTCTCAAGGTCCAAGCGATAGACCAAAAGTGGACTTTTCAAAATGGCAGGAGGATCCCTTTGCCGGGATTGAGCCAAGAGCCAGGCAAGCGTTTCTCCTGATGTGAAAGGGGAGCAGTTGCGTCTCACCTGGGCGTAAGCACATTGCCGATTACGCTGGCGGATAATGACAGGGGAGGCAGATTTGCATATCATGGTAATCCCGTGTTCCTGCACGGTGGCTCCTTGCAAATGAGCAGCCTGCTCCTCCAGAGCCCAATCGCTCCTTGCTTTCGTCCTCCCCTGACCTGAGCCCAACAGACATACGCTTCCTGTTGCATCTGAACGAGGGAGCAACTAACCACAACCGCTCACAAGCCCACGGTGATTGAAGCTTTGGTTTATCAAGGCGGGTCTGCCAAGGCGGGAGTCAGGAGTCGATCGGCAACAACTCACAAGGCGCCAGCGCAGTTAACTCTTCGTTCAAAGAAACCAAAACAGCTCAGACCTAATGCGCACAGCAAGTCTTCCCAGTAGGTCTTACCCCCACAATGGGGCAGTTGCGAGGACTGAAGGTCCCCAGCGTCCCACTGCTAAGTCTCGTCTGAGCACCCTGAGACTTCTCCGCCTTGTCTGTCTCTGCTCTAATAATAATAATAATTTATTTATACCCTGCCCATCTGGCTGGGCTTCCCCAGCCGCTCTGGGTGGCTTTCAAAAAAAACCACATTAAAATACTGTAATACATCAAACATTAAAAGCTTCCCTAAACAGGGCTGCCTTAAGATGTTTTCTGAAAGTCTGGTAGTTGTTGTTCTCTTTGACATCTGGTGGGAGGGCGTTCCACTGGGAGGGCGCCACCACCGAGAAGGCCCTCTGCCTGGTTCCCTGTAACTTGGCCTCTTGCAGTGAGGGAACCGCCAGAAGGCCCTCGGAGCTGGACCTCAGTGTCCAGGTAGAACGATGGGGGTGGAGACACTCCTTTGGGGATACTGGGCTGAGGCCGTTTAGGGCTTTAAAGGTCAGCACCAACACTTTGAATTGTGCTCAGAAAGGTCCTGGGAGCCAATGTAGGTCTTTCAGGACCGGTGTTATGTGGTCTCGGCGGCCACTCCCAGTCCCCAGTCTAGCTGCCGCGTTCTGGATTAGTTGTAGTTTCCGGGTCACCTTCAAAGGTAGCCCCCCGTAGAGCGCATTGCAGTAGTCCAAGCGGGAGATAACCAGAGCATGCACCACTCTGGCGAGGCAGTCCGCGGGGAGGAAGGGTATCAGCCTGCGTACCAGATGGAGCTGGTAAACAGCTGCCCTGGACACAGATTTGACCTGTGCCTCCATGGACAGCTGTGAGTCCAAAATTAGTCTGCCCTCTTCACGCCTCTGTGGGCTCTGGGAGAACAGGGAGAGGGGAGCTGGTCGCAGCAGGAGGGGAAGACCCCCTGGCTTCTTCAGCAGCCTGCCTCCCCTCTGTCTCTTGGCCCACCCCTGCTTCTGCCTCCGATTCTGGATTGCTCTCTGCCACGGACTCTTCCTGCTCACCAAAGCCTGTTACCTCTTCAGTTTCCAACACCTCCTCTTCCCAGACTTCTCCCTCTGACCACTCATTGTTGTGCCGCAACTACTCCCCAGGCTCTGAGCTGACTTCCCCTGGGGGTTCCCTTGGGGGTTCCCTAGCTGGATCCTCCCACCACTCCTCTCAAGTTCAACCCGTCCGCGACAAAATCTATGGTGTGCAACTGCATATGGAACGCTGCCTTTAAGAGGGGTTACTGGGCTCGCGTTGGGCCAGGATAGCCTTTTGGAAGCCTTAGCAATCGTGGCGGCAGAGTTGCGTTGCCGTGCGCTTGCGCCAATTCCACTCCTACCCTGGTGTGAATGGGATAAGCAAACCTTCCCATGGCGTCTGAACCAGGCACCATGCTTTGTTTGCTCCCTAAGAAGCCAAGATCGATAAGAATGAGAGAACTCTAAGAAGAGCCTGCTAGAACATAGCTACCCTCCTTTTCCACCAATCTGTCTAATCCCCCGTAAGCCCACACAAGTCGACGGCCTTCTAAAACATAGAACACAGAATTACAGAGCTGGAAGGGGTTCCATGGGTCATCTAGTCCAACCCCCCTGCAATGCAGGGATAATGTGTGGGGATTGAATCTGTGCCATTGGTGTTATCAAAGCAACGGCTTCCTTCGTAGCTTAACTGCAGGCTGTATGTAGTCCCAATTTCTCCAACCTTCAGCTTCCTCAGATCACCCCCAAGTTTTTTTAGAATTAAGAGGGGGAAAGGGCTTTATCCGGTCTTTTCTGTGCCGTGCACCATTTTACATACCTCTCCCTTACATGTTTTTCTCAAATTGGAAATTCCCAATGATGCATCCTTTCCTGGTAGGGGAGTCGCTGCACCCCTTGATCACGTTGGGTGCCCCTTTTCTGAACCTTTTCCCAGCTTCACAAAACGTATGCCAACAGATGTAGCATGGCACATGTCAGGTCATGAAATCATAGAACTGTAGAGCTGGAAGGAAAGCTTCAACGGTCATCTATTCCAACCCCCTTGCAATGCAGGAATCGCAGCTAAAGCACCCATGACCGACGGCCACCCAAGCTCTCCTTGAAAACCTCCAAGGAAGGAGAGTCCTCCATCTTCCCAAGGAGACCGTTCTTCCTGATGTTTCGTCGGAATGTCCTTCCTTGTAATTTGAAGCCCTTGGTTTGGGTCCTACCCCCCTGGAGCAAGCAGAAGCATGCTGGTTCCAGCTTCCATGTGGGCAGCACTTCAGGTATCTGAACACAGCTGTCACGTCCTCTTCTCCAGGCGAAACACCCCCAGCTCCTTCAACCGTTCCTCATAAGGCTCAGCTTCCAGACCCTTGAGATCATATTGATCTCCCTCCTATGAGAGCCAGTGTGGTGTAGTGGTTAAGAGCGGTGGACTCGTAATCTGGTGAACTGGGTTCGCTTCCCCGCTCCTCCACCTGCAGCTGCTGGGTGACCTTGGGCCAGTCACACTTCTCTGAAGTCTCTCAGCCTCGCAGAGTGTTTGTTGTGGGGGAGGAAGGAAAAGGAGAACGTTAGCCGCTTTGAGACTCCTTTGAGTAGTGATAAAGCGGGATATCAAATCCAAACACCTCCTCCTCCTTTTCTTCTTTGCATATCTTCCAGCTTGTCAATACCCTTCTTGGTACTGGGGCCCAGAACCAGAAGCTACCGTTAATTTTTAAAGGATGAATAGATTTAACAACTACAGCGGTACCTCGGTTTAAGAAAGCCCTGTTCACAAACTATTCGGCTTACGAACTCCACTAAACCAGAAATACTGTCCCGGTTTGCGAACTTTACCTTGGTCTAAGAACAGAATCCGAACGGTGGAAGGGCACCAGCGGCGGGAGGCTTCGTTAGGGAAAGCGCACCTCGGTTTATGAACGGTTTCGGTTTAAGAACGAACTTCTGGAATGGATTAAGTTCGTAAACCGAGGTACCACTGTACAATCTAAAACGACGCTCCAGCTCAAAGGTCCTATGACCCTTTTTAAAATTGTTTTGAATTTGTAACGTCTGCTGTTTTTATTCATCAACTCTCCTGCAACACACCTTCCTTCCTTCCATCCATCCCTCTTTCTTTCTTTCTTTCTCATGGGTATGATAACAGAGAACCCAGAAGACCTGCGCCACTTCCTTAAATCAGTTGTAGACGGATCTCCTTATCAGGTCACAGACTATCACGACTTCTTGGAAGTTCATCTGAAAAGTGGCAGCTTCTGAGTACAACCTGCGTCTTGCAGAGGGGCGGCAATTCTCAACCCACCCAGTAAGTTTCTGAGGAAATGGACACCACAAGGCAAGGTCTGGTTTCTTTTAAGGACTCAAATTGCTTTCCAGACCCAGATCAAGCAAGCAAACTTGCATCCTCCTCGGCCCAGCAAAGTCCACTCGGAGTTAAGTGAAGCCCTCAGCCGAAAAGAGCGCAAACAAAACACCACATCCCACCATCTTAAGATCATTTGGGTGGTGCCTCTCCACTCCCACTTTTCCCAGAACAGGCTTGAGCGGCAGCCAAAACAATTATTAAAACGGGAATCCTCCGCTCCATCGGGGCTTTGGTTTTTATTTTTTAAGCCAATTCCACGCAGGAACGGACGTTCCTGATCAAAATTGATGGTAAGCTCTCGAGATCAGCGGTGCCTCTTCTCCTGCAGTTCTTCCCCACTTTAACTGTGTATAGATGATGCTTCGGGACGTGGGTGGCGCTGTGGGTTAAACCACAGAGCCTAGGACTTGCTGATCAGGTCGGCGGTTCGAATCCCCGTGACGGGGCGAGCTCCCGTTGCTCGGTCCCTGCTCCTGCCCACCTAGCAGTTCGAAAGCACGTCAAGTGCAAGTAGATAAATAGGTACTGCTCCAGCGGGAAGGTAAACGGCGTTCTGGTTCGCCAGAAGCGGCTTAGTCCTGCTGGCCACATACCCGGAAGCTGTACGCCGGCTCCCTCGGCCAATAAAGCGAGATGAGCGCCGCAACCCCAGAGTCGGCCACGACTGGACCTAATGGTCAGGGGTCCCTTTACCTTTTTATAGATGATGCTTCAGGAAAAATACATCAGGGAGGCAGCAACCTGTCACCCTCTTGCAATGAACTGTTTTGCTTTTATATCGTGCTGAGGAATCCTTCGCCTTAATCTCAACGACCCTGAGATTAAGAGTCTCACGAGGTTCTTCTTCTCTGGCGATCCCTCGTAGCCGAGTAAGATTGTCTTCTATAAACACGATTTTAACAGTGAGTTCATAAGTGACTGTGGAGGCCAATTCTGGATCCACACATCCTTCCACAGTGGGGACATTAGTTACCGGGCGGGAGTTGACCACGGTGAGGGTTTGCCAAGTGTGCCTTCCTCCTAGCACATTTTTCCCTTGCGTCCTGAATTCAAGTGTCTTCAAAGCCCACAACGCCTTTTGGCAAAGCCTGTTCTCCAACTGGAGCGCTCACAGGCCAGTGTTTCCCAGTTGTCGGTGTTTATACTACATTTTTAAAGATTTGCCTTGATATAGTCTTTAAACTTCTTTTGTTGACCACCAGCATTACGCTTCCCATTTTTAAGTTCAGAATACAGCCAAGTCTTAACCCCAGAAAGCTAGCCCTAGCCTAAAAGTTTCACGGAAATTTCACGAGCATCGCTTCTCGGCTTTTGTGGTTCTGCTAAGCTCTCCAAACACCCCATAACCAACTAATGCGGAAGACAGATCTGTGCAGGTAAAAGTAATACTTTTAATCTCTGAGTATCGTACAAGCGACTCTCAATTTACAGCAGGGTTACGTCAAAACACAATACAGTGGTACCTTGGTTTTCGAACAGAATGTGTTCCGGGAATCCGTTCAAAAACCAAAGTGCGGCTTCCGGCTTCTGAAAATTGTTCGAAAACTGGAACATTCACTTCTGAGTTTCGAAAGTTCGGGAGCCAGGGCGTCCGGCTTCCAAGGCATGACTGTAGGTTCAAAGGCGAGCAGGAATGCCAAAGACTTTTTCCTGGATGCCATAGAATTTTAGAGTTTCTGCAATGCAGGAATCTCAGCTAAAGCACCCATGGCGCCCATCTCCTTTCCATTTTTTAAACATTTTCCACCCACCCCCCAATCGCGTAAAGCTGAATGTGCACAAGTTAAATGCGCCTAATTGGCGAGCTACCTGCAATCCTTTTCAAAAGGTACCTCCTTAGCGCTTGCCCTGGAGAAAAAACAAACGAACGCTTCCTTCTGCCACCAGCTTGTAGATGTGGGTGAATGCCGATTCCTTCGGCCGGACAACTGCATTTGTGGAGAAAACCCAAGACAAAAGTTGTTCCGACTCCCAACAACGTTCTGCAAATATCATCACACCTATTTACTCGAGTTGTCTGTCTCAGGCATATCAAGTTCTTGCACACTTCAGAATTTCTGCACAAAGCAAGAGAGGTCGTTTGAGAAAAGGAAAGACGGTGGTGGTTACGGCGAAGTTAGGGAAAACCACCATCACACTATCAGCAAGTGTGTTTCTTTACGACGCTAGTTTCTCGGGACTTTGGATTTCATGCTGGAGAAGCAGATTCTACATGCTTTCCCCAGACACAAAAGACAGGAAACAAATCACACTTTCCTAATATATGTACCAGCTTTAGAGAGAGCTATTTTGGCAAAGCAAAGTGAACGTTATGGTTTGAAACCAGTTAACACCCCTCAGGTTCACTGTCTCCACTAGAGGTTCCACAACTTGATCTACATGCTCCCTATGCAGGTGGTCCAAGAAAGGCAGGGTGGTGTAGTGGTTAGAGCAACCCACCACTCAACAAGAGAAAAGTTGTGGAAGAGTCAATGCCACCTCTGGATAGTTCAGTTAGTTAAAGCGTAGGGCTGAGGACGCCAAAGTTGCAGGTTCAATCCCTGTATGAGACAGCTGCAGATTCCTGCATTGCAAGGGGTTGGTCTAGAATTGCCGGGGTCCCTTCCAACTCTATGATTTTCTATTTGGCCCTGCATGTGATTTGTGGGTGTCAGACAATGGAAATCAAGGCTGATTGAAGCAGGGTCCGATTGTCGCACAGCCCTAAGAGGACTTTGACTTACGGCCCACAATTTTGCAGAATACGAAATTGCTGGTTGCAAAAAACTGATTTTTCACTTAAAAACTTGCCCATTGCAAGGAACCTTCTCACCAAATGTTTAATTTGTAAGGAGACAAAAACGGAGAAGCCGGTTTCTTACACATATTCTAGACTTGTATTAAGGTGACAAACTGTTGAGGGCTATAAATGAAATCTTTGATAGAAACAGAAACACCCAAATATGTTTTACTGGGATATATCCAAACACAGGAAGCTACCGTATTTTTTGCTCTATAAGACTCACTTTTTCCCTCCTAAAAAGTAAGGGGAAATGTGTGTGCGTCTTATGGAGCGAATGCAGGCTGCGCAGCTATCCCAGAAGCCAGAACAGCAAGAGGGATCGCTGCTTTCGCTGCGCAGCGATCCCTCTTGCTGTTCTGGCTTCTGAGATTCAGAATATTTTTTTTCTTGTTTTCCTCCTCCAAAAACTAGGTGCGTCTTGTGGTCTGGTGCGTCTTATAGAGCGAAAAATACGGTATATTATACAGACTCAGGCCACTGGTTTATCTAAGCTCATTTACACTGAGTGGCAGAAGCTTTCCAAGGTTTGAAGCAAGGCACCCAGGTCTTCTACCAAGCTACTGAACGAGGAAGACTTGAAATTTGCAACAGCGATGATCACTGCTGCCAGACTAGTCATAGCAAGAAACTGGATAAACCAGATGACACCTTGCAGCTATATACAAACATATGGGATACAGCACTGTTGACAAAACTCACACATTATAAGATATACCGAAGGCCACGCACCAATCAAATTCATTTCAAAACCGAGCTTGTTAAAGTCACGGGAATGTAAAATTCCAAGCACCCGTTTCCACTCCTATAATTTAACACCTAAAAAGTTATGCGAACACTTCTTTAAAGGGTAATTCATTTTATTTTTTCGCTGGGGGTAGTAGCGTGCTTCTGAATACCAGTTGGTGAGAATGGCAGGAGGGGGGAGCGGACGGCTGTTGCGTCCAGTTCCCGCTTGCGCCTTTCGCACTGTGAGAGCAGGACGCCTGGATGAAATGGGCCAGTGGTTTCGTCTTCCAAGCTGCTCTTACGTTCTTTCGCCCTGCTGGGCGGAAAAAAAATTCGCCAAGTGGTCCAGGGAGAGGTCCCAGCAATGTTCAAGCAGTACACCCACACACACAAAGTTTTAGTTACAGGTATAGCCATGTTGGTCTGCCGTAGCTGAAACAAAATTTTAAAAAAATCCTTCCAGTAGCATGTTAGAGACCAACTACAGTGGTACCTCGCAAGACGAATGCCTCGCAAGACAAAAAACTCGCTAGACGAAAGGGTTTTTTGTTTTTTGAGCTGCTTCGCAAGACGGTTTTCCCTATGGGCTTGCTTCGCAAGACGGAAACGTCTTGCACGTTTGTTTCCTTTTTCTTAACACCGTTAATACAGTTGCGACTTGACTTCGAGGAGCAACTCATAGAACGCGGTGCGGTAGCCTTTTTTGAGGTTTTTAAAGACTTTGGTGATTTTTGAAGCTTTTCCCAAACTTTCCCGACACCGTGCTTCGCAAGACGAAAAAAATCGCAAGGCGACAAAACTCGCGGAACGAATTAATTTCGTCTTGCGAGGCACCACTGTAAGTTTGTTCTTGGGATGAGCTTTCGTGTGCATGCAGGTACACTGAAGGTACTTCTTCAGATACACTGTGGATCCGAAGAAGTGTGCATGCACACGAAAGCTCATCCCAAGAACAAACTTAATTGGTCTCCAATGTGCTACTGGAAGGAATTTTTTAAAATTTTGTTTCGACAAAGTTTGAGAACCACTGCGGCCTCCCCTTGGGGTTTCAGACCAGGGTCTTTCCCAGCCCAACTTGGGAGACGGCAGGGACTGTTTCTGCACGCGAGGCATTTATCTGTTCCACCTAAGAACCAACCCCCGCCACCCCCCTTCCCCTTGCAAGTTTTCCACAGGAGTTGTTCGCCTACTGCGGAGCAGCACTCGGGGAAGGAAAAAGCAGTAGTGACCTTCAGACGCATCACCTGACCTTCGTGGGGAAAAACGCCGTGTACAGACAGGCCAGGAGCAAAAAAAGACAAAACACCAAAAACCCACAGGACGCAAAACGCACACAGAAGCAGTGGAATCCTCAAGTTTGCTTGCTCTGGGAAGTAGGCGCGGACAAGGGGATCCGGGGGCCCTGGCGATCCGGATTTCCAAGTGTTGCTGCGTTAAGCCGAACAGAAAGGGGGGGGGGTCCCGTTTGAGAGCCCTGCATTTCCTCCAGCATGCTATCGCAGGGGGCACAGCAGCAACCACTGTGCGATTCAGCCCTAGGGGTTAAGTACAGGCAGTGGAGAGACATGGGCATGGTGGGGGGGGGGAGAGATGGAAGGGTGGGGATTGGGGGAAGAGTACAAACAATCATAGTCTTTGAGCGAGCCTCCTCCACTCTTGGCCTGACTGCCAGAAGGGGGGGAAAAATCAGGGAGGGGAGACTGGAGCCAGGACAAATTTGCATACACCCCACCCTCCTTCCCTGCCAGAGCCGCTGTTTTGTTAAATCCACCAAGTGGGCAACTTCATACCTACTTTCTCAATCTGCCAGTTCTTCAGGGCTTAAGTGGGAAGAAGAAGAAGAAAACAGGACCCCGCCCAACTCCCCCCCACCCTCTCTGAGCACTGGAAGGCATGCAAGACCAAGCACATCTCAATGCTTCTCCTCCTCTCACCTGCCCCTCCCCAAATTAGCTTCCACCTCCCAGGATGCCCATTTTCCTACGCTCAGGTTCCCTGCAGACCCACTTCGCTCTCTGCGTGCCCCATTCCCCGCCCCCTGCGTCTTTAAACATCTCCCAACAGCATGGAGGTTAAGGCATGGGGATAAGCTGAATCGGTAGAACATAAGAATCTTAATCTCAGGGTTCCAGCCCCACGGTGGGCAAAAGATTCCTGCAATGCAGGGGGTTGGACTGGATGACCCCATGGGGTCTCTTCCAACTCTATGATTCTGTCATTCGTCTTCGTTCCGCTCTGTCGAAAATCCCATGTGGACTGATCGTTACCGTCACCATAATCATTGATTAGATTTACTGGTCGCTTGTGACCCAAAGGAATCCAAGCAACTTACAGCAATATGTATTTTATACAGTGCTACCTCAGGTTACATACGCTTCAGGTTACAGACTCCGCTAACCCAGAAATATTACCTCGGGTTAAGAACTTTGCTTCAGGATGAGAACAGAAATCATGTTCCGGCGGCGCGGCAGCAGCGGGAGGCCTCATTAGCTAAAGTGTGCTTCAGGTTAAGAACTGTTCCAGGTTAAGAACGGACCTCCAGAACGAATTAGGTACGTAACCAGAGGTACCACTGTACTCAATTGGATTAAAGGTGACCGCCAGTTAGGGTGCGGACGCTCTTCAAGGGCGACCCACATGGTTCAAGGAGACCAGCCTGTTGACCGTGTAGGACTCAGTAGGGAAGAGGATGGAGACAATGCTTGAATTCTGGCTCCCTGTCTTCCTCGCCAACAGATGCTGCTGGGATGGTCGCACAAACACACCTGTTTTAATTCACACTTATTGATTTCTATCCCACCTTTTCTGCAAGAAGCTCAAGGTAGAATACTCACTTTGCCGCCTCTCCGGAAGTTGGGCCGAGAGATATCGCTACTGACCCACGGCCACCAAGTGGGCCTTTGAACCCAGAGCCCAGTCGAACGCTCTAATCGCTGCATCACGCCATAACAAGGGTATATGCATCGCCGAAGAATGGATGCTTTTGAATTATGGTGCTGGACTGCAAGAAGATCAAACGTATCCATTCTGAAGGAAATCAGCCCTGAGTGCTCACTGGAAGGACAGATCGTGAAGATGAGGCTCCAATACTTTGGCCACCACATGAGAAGAGAAGATTCCCCGGAAAAGACCCTGATGTTGGGGAAGATGGAGGGCCCAAGGAGAAGGGGACGACAGAGGACGAGATGGTGGGACAGTGTTCTCGAAGGTGCCAGCATGAGTTTGACCAAACTGCGGGAGGCAGTGGAAGACAGGAGTGCCTGGTCCAAGGGGTCACGAAGAGTCGGACACAACTAAACAACAAAATTGGACACTTGCGACCAAGTGAAAATGCCTAAAATCTGCTCCACCTGGAAGCACATGGCGGGGATCGTTGGCTCTTGACTGTTTTCGCACACTAATGCCATATCCTCTAGGAATAGGCCGATATATATGCGGACTGTCTCTGAATCAAGTGACTTTTCTTCTTTTAAGTTCTCAGAAGTTCTTCACCAGGCTCAAGGCTGTCATCTGAACTAGCCAGACATTTTAACTGAGAATCAATCACAGTCCATCCATCAATTGAAAAAATAAAGACTTCACAGCCATCTTTCCCAAAGATGGCAAACTAGACGACTGCAACCTTGGTTTAAGGAGCCATTTGGCACCTAGCTTCTACATCCGAGTCTTCTAACCCTGAGTCACTGCCCTCCGCTAAAGCCCTGCAAGCTGCCATCAGAACTGCCACGTGGGAAGATTTCCAAGCTTCCGCCAAACAGTCAAACAGCCCCCTACACCTACTCAAAAGGGCCAGAGGCCCTCCACATTCCCAGCTAGCAGGAATTCGGGACTAGTGTAGGTGTTGCATCTGACGCTGCAAAAGGGAGCCAGGGAGAATCTAGGCCGGCTTTGGAAATAAAAGTGACCAGGGATATACTTTCTAACGCCGTTAGAAAGAACCAGCTACTTTTCCAGTTTACGGATCTCCCCTGCTAACAGAAGACTCTTTCTCCACCACAAAGGAACGGTGCGTGGCTATTTGCAAGTCCCCCCAAAAACCCCAGGCTTGCGGTCTGCGTCTTCCGTCTCATCAGCCACCCTAGGCTAAGCCTTTGGGGCTACTGAAGTCCGCTACGCCAGCCAGCCCCACGGTTTCCTCAGCAAGCGAGGGTGAGGAACTTGTTGGGAGCTCATCAAAGCCAGGGGTGATGGGAGAGACAGTCCAGCGCATTTTAGATGACACGTTGTCCACTTCTACCTTAATGCACGTTTCTCGAAGAAAGAGAGACCAAAAACGCCCAATGCACATTTCTAAAATAAAAACCAAAAGCAAAGTCCACGGCTAGGGAAGTCTTCCCAAACATCAGGTCCAGGCTGCTTCTTACAGCCTGATCAACCTGCTTCCTTGGACCCCTTATAACCACAGACTGAATCCCCGGGAGAAACAGATGCAGGTCAGAAGGCCTGGAGAGGCGCTTTCTGTCAGCGCAGACAAAACTGAGCAGGGTGAACTCAGTGCAAGGCTCTTTTTCATGCATCTCTTTCGAAGACAGGCCCCTATGGAGAATGGTTTAGGGCAGGGATCTCACTTTTGTTTCTAGGGAAGATTTCTAGGTAAGAGAGCCTTTGAAGCCCTGGAGAGTGACAACAGACACATTACCAAAGGTCTACAACTGTGCATAATGCAATCTCCTGCGTTCTTTTCTGCACCTCTCAAGTACCATTTCCCACCTCATAATGATAAACATGGGACGGGGTGGCGCTGTGGGTTAAACCACAGAGCCTAGGACTTGCCGATGGGAAGGTCGGCGGTTCGAATCCCCACAATGACGGGGTGAGCTCCCGTTGCTCGGTCCCTGCTCCTGCCAACCTAGCAGTTCGAAAGCACACACCAAAGTGCAAGTAGATAAATAGGTACCGCTCTGGCGGGAAGGTAAACGGCGTTTCCGTGCGCTGCTCTGGTTCGCCACTGGCCACGTGACCCGGAAGCTGTACGCCGGCTCCCTCGGCCAATAAAGCGAGATGAGGGCCACAACCCCAGAGTCGGTCACAACTGGACCAAATGGTCAGGGGTCCCTTTACCTTTACCTAATGATAAACATTGCTCTGGAGGCATTAAAGTCCCTCCCCTCCCCTCTTCTCATTCATCCTTACAAACGACCCTTTTCGGCCGGCCAGCAATATTCACCTCAAGTGAATATCGTGAAGAGAGCCGAGAGCCAACGGGTGACCTTGGAGTCAGTCGCCATCTCTTAGCCTGACCTACCTCACAGGGTCATTGTGAGGATGAGATGGGGAGGAGGACGACCATGTCCACTGCCTTGAAACCCTCTGAAGATAAAGGCGGTATATAAATGTAATAGTACTAATAACAATAATAATAATAATAATAATAAAAAAGCAGGGGTGAGTTGAACGCCGAAGAATTGATGCTTTTGAATTCTGGTGCTGGAGGAGACTCTTGAGAGTCCCATGGACTGCAGGAAGATCAAACCGATCCATTCTTAAGGAAATCAGCCCTGCATGCTCACTGGAAGGACAGATCCTGAAGCTGAGGCTCCAAGACTTTGGTCACCTCATGAGAAGAGAAGACTCCCTGGAAAAGACTCTGATGCTGGGAAAGATGGAGGGCACAAGGAGAAGGGGACGACAGAGGACGAGATGGTGGGACAGTGTTCTTGAAGCTACCAGCATGAGTTTGACCAAACTGCGGGAGGCAGTGGAAGACAGGAGTGCCTGGTGTGCTCTGGTCCAGGGGGTCACGAAGAGTCAGACAGGACTAAACGACTAAACAACAACAACGAGTTGAACAAGGGTCTTTCACATCCACCCTCCTATAAAGCACCTTTTAAGCAATCAAAGGTTTCTGTACACATCCTTTCAGCTACCTTGACAACAGCCAGTGGCCACACTGGGATCTCTTTGTAGCTTCTGCCCTCCAAGTTCAAACTCAGACATTGGTGATTCCTCCAAATATTCATCGAGAGATCTGTAGCCTGCCTCGGGAGGCTAATTTTTAAAAGGAAATTAAAAAAGACCAATACAATACTAACATCCCAATGCAAGCAAACACGCTGTTTCCTCACCTGCTGCCCAAACAAATCCCTTTCTTTTGGGGATTCATGTGGGTAGGTACAAGGCAACCTTACTATTACGTCCTAGCCTAATCAATGAAATTGGGCCTCATGTTCCCCTGCGCTACAGAAGAGCGCCAAACATCCTCAACCAGAAACCTGCTATTTAGCTTTGACAGACCCATGCTGCGTGGAGCACTCTTCCAACAGAGATGCGGCGGGCACCCTCGCTTTTGACTGAAGACCTTTCTCATTGACAACTGCGCAGCCGTTTCCAAATTTTCTCAGGTAGCATCTCACTTGTAACATCTGCATGTGCATCTTTTAATGTGTCTTTTAATGCTTTTATACGACCGTAAAAACCGCCTCACTTATGGGAGAACGGCATATCAGATCATTAAACCGCAGAGTTGGAAGGGACCCCGGGAGGCATCTAGTCCAACCCCCTGCAAATGCAGGAATCTTTTGTCTGATGCGGCGACCCTGAGATTAAGAGACTCTTGCTCTACCAACCGAGCCAAATAATAATAATGAACCCATTTAATTGATAAAGCCTCCCCCATCAGTAGTTTTGTTGTGGTTGTTCTGGAAACCTTTACAGACAAATCCCACCATTTAAAATACTTGCATAGGAACAATTTAAACCCTGACCGCCGTCCCCGTCGCCCCCATGCACTTAAGCAAGTCCATAGGCCAAAAGTAGAAATCCGAACTCGAGGCCGCATTGGCTCGCAAGCTCCGTAGGAGCCAAACCTTCCTGTGGCTATTGTTGTGTATATGCATATATAGGAAATAGATAAATAGACAGATAGACAGATAGATAGATAGATAGATAGATAGATAGAATGGCAGGTGGTTTGGGCAAGTGGTTTGTATGACTTTCTTTAATTTTAAGGAAAGTTATGATGTGTCTTATTTTGAACAGGTTGCGAGTCACCTGAAGGCCTTTGAGCAGCAAGCGACTAGCAAGTCTAAATAATAATAATAATATATTAACAAATATGCTACAACTATTTGGAACTATTTTCATGCTCCCACCCCCAGTTTTTGAACCTTAAAATCATTCAAAACCCTGAAGCCCATCACCACATTCACCCCTCTAAATATCAGAAGCTCCCCCCCAAAAACCCCAAAATATTTGCCCCCAGTTTCCATACACCCCGCCTTCAACAGCAGCCCCCTCCTCAAATTCCCCCTCAGAAGGGTGAGGAGGGGACCAGCGCCTCAGCTGCCCCCTCTGTACCCTTCACAGCCCCCATTGGGGAAGCTGGGAAGGCAAGCGAGCCCCGCCCGGGGCCTTGTACTAGGCCTCAAATCCCCGGCCTTTCCTGGTCGCCGCGCCCGCGGACCCCACCTCTCCCCCCCGGGGGCAGGGCTGGCTCGAGCCCTCAGCCGCTTTCCCTTCCCTTCCCCCTCCTTTCCTCCCTCCCTCGGTCCGCCATTGGCCGCGGCGGCGGCTGGTAGGGAGCGGAAGCGGCAGGCGGGCCGGCCATTGGCCGCCGCGGCCGCCCGTCAGCCAGCCTCACGCGGAAGGCCGAGGCAAGGCCCCGGCGCTGAGCACCTCGGGAGACGTAGTCCCCGCCTCCATTGCACCTGCAGGCCGGAGCGCGGGGGAAAGACTACAGTTCCCAGGGAGCCAAGGCACTTGTCCTCCCTGGGGCTTGCAAAAGCCCCCTCCCTTAAAAAAACACACACACATATATCCTGCCTTAAGAGTACAACGTATGCAACGCAGCACAGAATAGGGTCTTTGGCAGGAAGGAGGCGGAGGAAAGGAGGGGGAAAGTTATTTCCAGCTTCCCCTTTGCACTTAATTGCAACCTTCCCCCCCCACCCAGAAACCACCCCCTGCAGTTCCCCAATGCAAAGGGACAAGCCAGCCCCATTAATATAGATCACACAGAAAATGCAAATATTTCCAGATTGCAACGTGCCCTATACAGCTTGCATCTCGTGCAATTGCACTTGCGCCCCCCCAATGCAAAACAAACACAGCCCCCCCACCACCAGCAGCAGCACCCTTGACTTCAGGCTCTCCTTTCACCTTCAAGGCTGCTTTCCCTCCCCCCCCCACGCACTTCAAACACCCCCCTCCCCACTCCAGCTTCCTCCCACCCCCACCCCACTGAACATCTCTCCCCTCCCAGAAAAAACCCACCCACCCACAAAACACCCCCCACCCCAAAAAACCCTCCCTTCCCCCAGCAACCTCCTCTCACTTAAGGCAAAGTTGTGACCCCCCCACCAACAAGATCCCCTGGGTGAAAGTTGCAAAAGGCAAGAGGAAGCAGGAAAAGATGACAGCGGGGAGATCTCTCTTTTAAAGGGGATCGGATCTCTTGACCAGCAAAAAAAAGGAAACCCCCCCAAAAGAGAAAGATCCAGAGGTCTTACCTTGTTGGTCCTGAAGGTGTGGGGGGGGGGCCAGGAAGAGGAGGAGGAAAGGGGGGGCGCCTGGAGTTTGTGGAGTCAATTCCTGAGCAGCTTCTGCCCGTCCGGCCTGCCTGCCTCCCTCCTTTTTTCTCTCTTTTCCTCTCCCTCTCTCTCTCTCTCCTCTCCTCTCTGCTGTTCCTGCCCCTACTGTAACTGTAGATGCAAAGCCCCGTATGATGCTGTGAACTCCCTTCCTGGTTTGCTCTCAGGGTAGGGGAAAAAAAAAAGAGAGAGAAGCAGAAAAAGGACAGGGGTCCCTCCCTTTTCTTAAAGGTGCAGCAACTGCGCTGGGGGGGGGGGGGGACTTGCTTTCTCTTTGGCAAGGTTTTCCCTTTTTGCAAACTGACATGCGGCTTTTGCAAACTGGCTGGGCCAGTCCTGGTTGCTTTTTGCAAGGGAGACTTTCTTATTTTTTTGCAAAGGAGGAGGAGGAACCAGAAGGGAGATTGCAACTGGCAAAGGCACAGGGGGGTGGAAGGGAGGAGGGGGAAAAAGAGAGAGAGAGGGAGCATTCAAGGCAACAACCCCCCCCCATCCCAGCCTTGCTTGCTCGCTTGCTGCCACGTCTCACCCTTGGCTTGCTTGCATCTTGCCAAGGGCACGCTCCCGCTGCAAGCGGGCAACGGCCGTGTGGTTTTTCGCTATATTTTTATTTTTTGCAGCCTGCAATTGCTGCCTTCTCCGACCCCACCCAGGCGACGGAGCGACCCTTCTCCTCCCAGCTAAGCCCATGTTATCTAACCCAGCAACGCGGCCAGGGAAGCATTTGCAAAGCGGGGAGGTGCAAAGGGGACCCTGCAATGCAATGGAAAGCAAAGCAGCTAGCCTGGAGAAGACAGGTGCGTTTCCTTATTTAAAAAGGGAGGGAAAAAATAAAATCCTTTTGGAAAGAGTTGGTGGGGAGAGTCGGGACTTTTTATTTTATTTTTATTTTATTGCTTTGCAAATGATGCTGATGATAATGATGCAAGCTTTAGGACCGCACAGGACGCCGGAGATGCAAGCTGGAATTTCTAGTCAGCTGCGAGGAAAGCGTTTGCAAGCCGGGGAGGTGGAAAGCGAACCCTGTAATGAAATTCAAAGCAAAGCAGCCAGCCTGGAGAAGACAGGTGCGTGTCCTTATTTAAAAAGGGAGGGGGAAAATAAAATCTTTTTGGAAAGAGTTGGTGGGGAGAGTCGGGACTTTTTATTTTATTTTTATTTTTTTGCTTTGCAAATGATCCTGATGATAATGATGCAAGCTTTAGGACCTCACAGCACTCCGGGTCCTCGGTAGAGGGATTCCCTCCTGTTTGACTAGTGTCCAATTTGATTTCTTTTTTAAATTTTTTTTATTTTATTAACATATAAAACACATACAGTGGTACCTCAGGTTAAGTACTTAATTCGTTCCGGAGGTCCGTACTTAACCTGAAACTGTTCTTAACCTGAAGCACCACTTTAGCTAATGGGGCCTCCTGCTGCCGCCGCGCCGCCAGAGCACGATTTCTGTTCTCATGCTGAAGCAAAGTTCTTAACCTGAAGCACTATTTCTGGGTTAGCGGAGTCTGTAACCTGAAGCGTATGTAACCCGAGGTACCACTGTACATATACATTTACACAATACACGTACACAACACACTACCTTATTTTCATAACATAAAACATACCTACATCACGATATATAATACCTACCCATTCTATACATATCAACACACCTATCCCACACGAACACCCACCAACTTGACTTCCAGCCGTTCTTGTTACGCTACTTTATTTTTCCAATTAGCTTCATTATTTCTTTAATCTCTTCTTCTATCTTGACTTTACTCTCCTTTCACTCTAATCATTTTCTGGATTCACTCAATATCTGTCAGAAATTCTACTTTTCCCACATAAATTTTGATGTATTCCTTAAAGATGGCCCACTCCTTATTCACTTTTTGTACCAGATCTCCTCTTATCCTCTCTGTTAGTTCGGCAATATGGAAGGATTCCATCGTTTTATTTTTTTTAATTTTATTTTTATTTTTTTTGTATTCCATCATTTTAGATAAGCAGTCTGTTTTAGTTGGGACGCTGCTGCTTTTCCAATTTTTGGCAATCAATAACCTTGCCGCCGTAGTTGCATACATAAATATTGGTCTGACCGTTCTAGTGTGCAATTTGATTTCACCAACAAGACGCCCATAGCTGAGCTCAGCCTTGGGTTCATGCTGCTGGTGGGCCAAGGAGCCAGGGACATTTTGCTTTATTTATGATGGTAGTGGTGCAAGCTTTAGGGTTAAACCACAGAGCCTAGGACTTGCTGATCAGAAGGTCGGTGGTTCGAATCCCTGTGACGGGGTGAGCTCCCGTTGCTCGGTCCCTGCTCCTGCCAACCTAGCAGTTCGAAAGCACCTCAAAGTGCAAGTAGATAAATAGGTACCACTCCGGCAGGAAGGGAAACGGCGTTTCCGTGAGCTGCTCTGGTTCGCCAGAAGCGGCTTAGTCATGCTGGCCACATGACCCGGAAGCTGTACGCCGGCTCCCTCGGCCAATAAAGCGAGATGAGCGCTGCAACCCCAGAGTCGGTCACGACTGGACCTAATGGTCAGGGGTCCCTTTACCTTTACCTATGATGGTAGTGGTGCAAGCTTTAGGACCTCACAGCACGCCGGAGATGCAAGCTTAAATCCCTAGTCAGCTGTGTGATTCCCTCCTGCTCCAGTGCTTTTTAATGTCATCTTGGGCAACATCAGCCACTGGGCTGGGTATTAAGTTTAGACTGTAATCAGTCTAGGTTGTGTGTTTTTTAAAATAATAATAATAATAATAATAATAATAATAATAATAATGTTTTGTGTTATCTATATCATCCAAAGGCCTATGTTGGTAGGCAGCCAGCATAAATACTGTTACGGCTAAATAAATGGTTATAACAAAATAAGCTATTATTATTACTGTTGCCAGAGGGTGACCAATGCATTTTTCCCAGCAGTTTTTTTTATAGTTTCGTGTTAAGCGCATTTTCATGTTCAGCGTATTTTTTGGTATCGAACTATAATAAATTAATGATCGGTGAATAACAAAGGAACCGTTCATATGATTTATTTATTGCATTTGTGTAGTGCGATGTTTTAAGGCTGAGCTATCCCTGCTCCTGCCAACCTAGCAGTTCGAAAGCACGTCAAAGTGCAAGTAGATAAATAGGTACCTCTCCGGCGGGAAGGTAAATGGCGTTTCCATGCGCTGCTCTGGTTCGCCAGAAGCGGCTTAGTCATGCTGGCCACATGACCCGGAAGCTGTACGCCGGCTCCCTCGGTCAGTAAAGCGAGATGAGCGCCGCAACCCCAGAGTCGGTCACGACTGGACCTAATGGTCAGGGGCCCTTTACCTTATGATAGTATGAATAAAATATAGTAAAGCAGCAATAAATAGGGAAGTTTTTTTAATGTTTGATGTTTATGATGATTGTTATTATTATTACTATTACAATTATTATTATTATTTATATGTTGGAAGCCACCCAGAGTGTCTGGGGCAACAAGATATGTGGGGTACAAATAATAATAATAATAATAATAATAATAACAACAACAAATAATTATATTATTATTTAAAAGCACATAAAAACAGAGCAGATAAAATCTCATTAAGAAAAAAACCAGTTTAGACCTACTGCAACTTGAGCCTGCAATCCTATATCAGCAATCCTATATCCAATCCTTAGGAATATGCTCTAATGAACGGGATTTCCTTCTGAATAGGATTGTGCTGTTAACAAACATTGGGCTTTCCAGGCACAGATTCCTGTAACCCTTTGCAGCCACGAGGTGGGTCTTTATTTTCTTACGAAACACCTTCTGCGTACATGTCTCGTAGTGGTGTACAGAATTAAACCAAAAGAACTTAAAAATGCTTAACACCACCACTGCACAAACATACAAATTAACATTGGATAAGTTTAAAAGCAGTATAAAATAGACACCAGTGGATGGCAGAGAGCCATTTATACAGCTGGGAAACCCTGTCAGGAAGAAAAATACAGTGGTACCTTGGTAGTTGAACAGCTTGGCTACCAAACAAATTGGCTCCTGAATGCTGCAAACCCGGAGGTGAGTGTTCTGGTTTGCAAACGCTTTTTGGAAGCCGAACGTCTGACTCAGTTTCTGATTGGCAGCAGGAAGCTCCTGCAGCCAATTGAAAGCCGTGTCTTGGTTTTCAAACCGTCTCAGGAGTCGAACGGACTCCCGGAATGGATTAAATTAGAGTACCAAGGTACCACTAAAAGGGACCCCTGACCATTAGGTCCAGTCATGGCCAACTCTGGGGTTGCGGCGCTCATCTCGCTTTATTGGCCGAGGGAGCCGGCGTACAGCTTCCGGGTCATGTGGCCAGTATGACTAAGCCGCTTCTGGCGAACCAGAGCAGCGCACGGAAATGCTATTTACCTTCCCGCTGGAGTGGTACCTATTTATCTACTTGCACTTAAATGTGCTTTCGAACTGCTAGGTTGGCAGGAGCTGGGACTGAGCAACGGGAGCTCACCCCATCACGGGGATTCGAACCGCTGACCTTCTAATCGGCAAGTTCTAGGCTCTGTGGCTTAACCCACAGCTCCACCCGCGTCCCACTGTAATATTCTTCTATTCCGAACTTAAGAATGGAAAGCGTAATGCTGGTGGTCAACAAAAGAGGATTGAAGTCTGTCTCAAGGCAAATCTAAAAAATGTAGCATAAACGGTAACAACTGGGAAACACTGGCCTGCAAGTGCTCCAGTTGGAGAACAGCCTTGACCAAAGGTGTCATGGGCTTTGAAGACACTCGAACTCAGGACGCAAGGGAGAAACGTGCCAAGAGGAAGGCACACTTGGCAAATCCACACCGGGATCAACCCCCACCCGGAAACCAATGTCCCCACTGTGGAAGGATGTGTGGATCCAGAATTGGCCTCGGCTGTCACTTACGGACTCACTGTTAAAACCGTGTTTAAGGAAGACAATCTTACTCGGCTACGAGGGATCGCCAAAGATGTCAGCAGAGCACGAGACTCTCAATCTCAGAGTCGTGGTTTCAACCCCCACATTAGGCAAAAGATTCCTGCATTGCAAGTGGTTGGGCTAGATGACCGCCGTGGTCCCTTCCAACTCCATGAATCTGTGGGATGTCATACATAAGTAGCAGTCAAGGACAACATTCCTTGTTTTGCTAGAGTGGCCATGCAGGGGAATGTTTGGTCCAGCCAGTCGAAAACTTCCTGTTTCCTCCTGGCTGGGACGTACATCCTTTTGCATGTGACTAGAGCTGGGCGTGACCTTACCTGCCCAGGTAACAAAATGGACAGGGCATGCAGCCCACCCCTTTAAAAAATTTATTATTTTTAATGCAAAATTACAACAAAAATTACAAACATTGAATCCAAAATAAAGCAGTACAAACAAGCAAAACAAAACACTAGAAAAAAAGAAAAACAAAAACACACATCTACAAGTAAATCCACATCATCATTCTGATTGTTATGTACGTATACACATATTGACTTCCTTCCTTTGTTCTAAGACCTCGAAATTTTTACTCTTTCTATTGTTGTTTCAATGTAATACCTTGATATTTATTACTTTACAGTTTTCTCTTACATGAAAAGAATCATTCATTACATACAATAGAATTCTAAAGAAGAACTCAAAGAGAAAATACACAATGACAGAGTTTACAGTATTAAGACAAAAGACAAAAACAGTCTAAAAATCAATTTCCATCTTTTCATCACTACTTTTACATTTACTTGTTTCCAGGAATTTTTACTCTTTCTAAATTGTTGTGTCCAATGTAATTACCTCTTATCTTTATTACTTTTGCACCATTTTTCTCTTTCTTTAACCCTGCAAAGCTTCATTCGTTACATACCGATATACATAATGACGAAAGACATCCCCAATGATAAGAAAAAAATAATTCCTATATGCGACGGCTGCTGCTTGGATCTTAGTGGCGAAAAACTGGAAGGGAGATACAGACCCTACAGTGGCGGATTGGCAAATTACCGTATTTTCCGCCCTATAGGACGCACTTTTCCCCCTCCAAAAATGAAGGGGAAATGTGTGTGCGTCCTATGGGGTGAACGCAGGCTTTCGTCGGTGCGCACCGACCCCTCTCGCTCTCCAGGCTTCGCGCAGCTTTCCGCAAGCTGTGGGAGCCCGGCGC